CACAAAATATCAAATAAAACGAAGCTCCAACTTCGATTATTCCGATCGCGATTTGGTTTTTGGAATGTTAGAAGGTTCGTTTAAAAATGTCTTGCTTTTTCTCCCCCCAACAGCAAATACTTCAACAAAGGAACGAAAGACGAGATATACTAGAAGCGACAACCGATATCGTCCGGACATCTGTCGGCGTTGTTACATAAAATCAACGCCAGCCATCATTCATCGAACCGAACAAACAAACCTAAAACAATATCCATTCGCGGCTGACCACGGATCCAAGTTTTCGCAAAATCGATCCCCACGCAGTTTAACGGTAAATTCAGCGTAACGAGCGGAGCGAATACGAGCCGACCGCGATTATCAATTTCATCGGGGCTCTCGTATGCAAAACACAACGATCGTCGTCGTTACACAAACTTTCCGCCCTCGTTACGCGTGCATCGTAAAACGGCGCGCACACGTGTGTCGCGACCGTCCGCAAAGAGATATTAACCGTAAAATCGGCGAGAATAAACAGCGAAGCCTCGATCGATCCAAGTTTTACGGCTGGCGAACGACGAGACCGAGAGATCGCCAACCGTAAACTTCCGCAGCCCTCCAACGATAATCGTCGTTATGACTTTGTCGTTTCTTCTTCGTTATCATTGTTATTGCGTCGCATGAAATAATAAACGTACCTAAAATACGTAAAACGCGTTTCCGTTTCTACCCTCCGGAACTAATTTCGATCGAGAAATAATAGAAAGTAAAATAGATGTGCACAAACGAGCTTAAATGAAAAAACAAATGTTGGGAATCAAGATAAGAGTCGCGATGTTTTATAAAGCCCATCGAGAGATTACGAGGGTCGTTCAATAAGCGAAGTGACACTACTGCTATTTTAACATGGTACGTGCAACGGATGTCACAGTTTTCCTATTTCTCATCGCAATCCCCAGCTATAATTATACATTTCACTGGCTTTCGTCTCTTCGTTTATCGAACGATCTCGCGCAGGAACTGTATAATCATTCGAATTGCCCTCGCAGATATTTGAGTGCGAGATAAATTGTGAACGAACCCAAAAGGGACCAATGTTTAGTTTCGTCATGGATCACAATCGGGTTTATACTCGGAATTTCATAATTACACATTTAGATCACGTTTCGGGGATTTTGCCCCAGTGTGCGTCGAGCCGATTATTTCAGGGATAACGGAGTGCACCAGTTTGGATAACAAGGGTCGTACACCGAACCGTGTCCGTTAACGCCGGCTACTGAATACATAATAATTTTCTACCGGTGCGGAATCGGATCGGGGAATAAAAAACGCCGACCGCCAAACGGCAGTCGTCCTCGTTTGTTTACGCGCGGAGTTCACCGTTTCGTATAATGGAATATCCGTACGGCCGAGCAAATCGATCGGCAGAATTTATCATATTATAACGCGACGCTGGGAATCGCGACGCTTTCCGATTCGTTTGCCGGCTGCTACATCACCGGGCCAAGCAAATTGCCGATAATATGTTTCGTCGATTCATTCCGACGCTTCAATCTCCGCGAGAATTGACTTTTTGCCCGTTCCGCGATCGCCTTTGCGTTAGAATCGCTTTGTGTTCCTGTCTAGGTTTGCCCTTTCCTGATTGCGTTTAAAAAAATATTGCGGCGAAAGGCGAGAAAAGGTTGAATCAGTTCTACCGCAATTCGATTACCGTGTAAGATCACATATGCTATGGACGCGTTTTTCGGGAACGTAGCCGATTTACGTGACCCTGCCGCGAATCGATAGAGACGTCTTCATGTTGGTGGAACACGACAAGAAAAAAAGAAGGATATCGTACACGATCGTGCTCGACGGAACGTCGCTCGTAAATTCGTGTCGCCCGGTGGGTGGGGCCAGGCGTGACAGTATAAACCGTGTACATAAAACTCTTATAGCGCGAATGGTAATATAAAGTTTAATACGGCCTCGAACTTCCGCGGATTATGATCGGAAAAGGCTTGTCGCTAGCGCGCCGCGGCGTTCTCTCGTCGCATTGCAAATTTGAAACGTTTCTTCGAGGTACGAGGCCGGGCGGGTTTTATGCCCAGCGAGAAGCTTACTCAGGAATTTCACAGCCGCTCGTCGCGAGTTGTAGGAGTTGTAACTCTTAGCCGACGGTTCGTATATATGTAAAGTTTCTACGGATTACGCTTGACTAGAGCGAGAATGAAATGGAAAATATAATGTCGTCGAACGACCACTGTCACCAATATTAAACGTAAAACGCACGCCAGTGGCGAATCTCGAACAACCTGTGAAGAAATAAAAAAGAAAAGTAAGTACAATTTATAGTTGCAACTACGGAAGTAGTACAGTTGTACACTTGCCTTCGGAAACTTCTCGTGCAGTTACTATCGGCGGATAATGTCGTACACCATCGATCGCTGGTACGTTGCCACTGAAAGGTAAACTCAGTCTTATCCACGGTAGACATTTCTGGCCATTTCACGTTATGGACCTTCGTGGCCCACTCTGACTGCCATACCGACCTGAATTTCTACATATTCTTCACAAAAATATACGTTGTTTGCCGTAGTTACTTCCAGAAAAAACAACTCTTTAAGAAAAAGTGCTGGCTAGTACCTACGCAAACACTCTGTATTTAAATTTAAATTCATTCACAATTAAATAGATAATTTATGGCCCAGTGTCATCGTACACTAGTCGTATGATCAAATTGCTGAAACTGTTTTGAGTATGTAGCGTCAAAGTAAATGTCAAAATAAACATAGAAGACAGCAGAAATAGTAACAATTTCTATGCTCATATGGTAGATGATTAAATGCCCTTTAAAATGAGCGTTTGTACGAGTCGATAGCTTTATTAGTTCCCGAGATATAGCGATTTTAATTTCAAGTCGATGCGGTGGCTAGTTTCGGAGATATAAGAGTCCGGAAGTGTTTGTTTACTACGCGTCACGTGACCGTAGTAAGTAGTAAACGTGACGTCATTCTGTCACGCGACAACGTCAAAGTGGGTCAACGTGCGACAAGGAGGTCCAACGCGACGCATCAGACGGAGACAGCGATAGTCGAATTAAGAAAAATTACCCTTTACATAAATTACGATATCTCGAAAACGGGAAGTCCGATCGCCAAAAACCAAAAACCATTTTAAAGAGGAAGGTTTGCCCCTTCGAACGACGGCTCGATTATGCAAAAAACATGAGTGGTTACGGAACTGCGAGTGTTTAAAGTTTATGCATTTTTAATACGCGTTGATACATTATACTAATTATTTTCTCGATATCCCGTAGGATTTCGACGGTATCTGCATTGACCAAAAATGATTGTCATTGACCCCCGTAACCAAAAATAATTTTTCTAGAACGATTTGAAACTTTTCAATTTTGTCAAAAATTTCAGCAGCTCTTCGAATTTTTTTCTCGAAAGTGCGTAGGATTTCGGGGGTATGTCTGCTCACCAAAAATAATTGTAATTGACCCCCGCAACCGAAAATATTTTTCCTAGAACGATTTGAAACTTTTCAATTTCGCCAAAAATTTTAGCAGCTCTTCGAATTTTTTTCTCGAAAATGCGTAGGAATTCGGGGGTATGTCTATTGACCAAAAATTATTGCAATTAACCCCTGCAACAGAAAATATTTTTTTCAGGTCGATTTGAAAAAATCTTTTTTCGCCGACAATTTAGGCATCTATTCGAATTTTTTTCTCGAAAATACGTAAGATTTCGGGGGTATGTCTGTTGACCAAAAATTACTGTAATTAACCCCTGCGACTGAAAATAATTTTTCCAGATCGATTTGAAAAAATTTTTTTCCGCTGAAAAATGTAGGCACCTACCCACTGTCGATTTTCCTTAGAAAATCGTTTTTGATTTTTAATAACTTTGTTTGACGCCCTACAGAAAAATTGTTTAATACTTTGTTGTAGGTACCCATGTGCTCTACTTCAGAAAAAAGTTTCATTGAAATATATTTACTATTGTAGGAGTTATGGCTGTTTGAAAATCTGACTATTTTTATGGGTTAAAATTCTAACTTGACGGGGTCAAGGAACAACTTCTTCAATATTTTTGGAATTTCTACATATTCTTCACCAAAATACGCGTCGTTTGCCTTTTTGAACATTAAAATCCTTCAATCCGTTCAGGAGTTATGACGTTTTAAAGATCCGGACGAAATTTCAGTGAAACATATCAACGGTATGGTCAGACATGAAATTTTCGGTAATGATTTTTTTTCTCGAGACTGCGTAGGATTTCGGGGGTATATCTATTGACCAAAAATGATTGTAATTGACCCCCGCAGCCAAAAATAATTTTTTTAGAACAATTTGAAATCTTTCAATTTCATCGAAAAATTTTAACACTTACCCTTTGCCACAGTCTTGTGAAAAGGCTTTAGTTGTCGACTTCGCAATGGTTTTAAATGATCGTTGGTTACTTAATGGTCAGCTTATGGTCATCGATGGCTAACAGTAATGTTGACACCAACGTCAACGGTCCAGAAAAGATCCAAGAATGACTAAGAGGCGAGACCAACCGAGTTCCTCTATAGACCAAAGAGTTCCCAAGAATTCTATAGACTTCCTACTCTTCCATCACCTTATCAAACAATTTGATTCTTCTATTTCAAGTAATGTTCCATACTACATACGTTTACCACTAAGTTATCAATACGTATGACGAGATAGGAACAGTATAGAAATTATTCGTGCGGCAAGTAATGCCCAGCGCAATCGTCGCGCATGGCAAACTACACCCGGAAGCGGAGAATAATACTTACACCTATCATTACTAGGTGTAATATGCAAAACACACCGGTACCATAATCGTTGTTATAGAATTCTCCAAGTGTGTGAGGTAATAAATGTATACTAACAGCATTTTCTCTCTAAACGGTATTCATCGTAATTCTCTTTTACCGATTGCTTCTCTTGTGGAGCGATATCGAATACTCGAGTGCATAGCACGGACAAATTACGCAAGAAACGATCCCTGGTCCTATTAGTAAAATTAATCTCAAAGTGCACGTGTTGGTAAAAAGATTCTTGTGCTTATTTCGTTTTGCATCATGTTCAAAAACGTAACGCCGGAGAGAGCCATATACTTAACACAGCTCAGCATAGCCCTAAACTGTTCTTGGCCGCTACCGCCGACAGCCACCAAATCTCAGGTGATCTGTTTCAAAGTCTACAGATTTCTAACGAACACATGCGCTTTTATATTCGTTCTCCCGCTATTTTACTCGATGTACATAAACCGTGACGACTCGATCATCCTGACCAGGGTGGCGTGCTTCATCGATGCTCTCTGTCACGTCTACGGTCAGGCGGTCTTAAGCATTCTTCACTATGATCGGATTCAGGTAAAATCTGCGAGCATAAAACTTTGTTAAAGAGTGTAACTGCAGCGACACGTTGCAGGCGGTAGTCTATCAAATGACAGAGTACTGTGCGAACGCAACGTCTCTCGAAAGATCAATTCTACAACAATACCTGGACAAATATGCAAAGTATTACGCGATGGCTGCGATGTGGGTTTACGGGACTGGGACTTTCATCGTCGTAGGAAACCTGTTCGTACCTCAGCCGTTCCCAGTAGAGGCGGAATACCCGTTCCCCGTCGACTACGAGCCACTGAGGACCGTGATTTTCTTGCACCACGGTTACGTCGTGATGCAGTGCGCCGCCGTCGTGTGCATCAACATGTTCGCTGCGCTGCTTTTGTTTTTCGCGGCGGCGCGGTTCGAAATTTTAATGGTGGAGTTTCGCGCCGTACACAATATCGAGACATTGACACAGTGCGTGCAAAAGTATTACCGCGTGAGAAGGTATGAGATACGTTTTGTCGACGCGGAAGGCAAGTAAACGCTGTTGTGTGTGCCACGAGCGTTTCGAGTACATTCGGAATGGCTGTAGAGAAGGTAATGTCTTTCCAGTTACGCGATGGAAGTGGTCAGTGTTATACAGTACACGGCTATTTATACGACAATGATGGCCACATTACCACTCGTTCTATGCGGTCTCAACGTTATCGGTGTAAGTATACATACTCTACTGCGACGGACTCCGGGCCCATTTGGACCCATTCGAACTGTTTCTTTCAGAGTCGTGCAGTTCGAAAATGGGCCCAGAGTCCAGCGTCCCGATCGAAAGATAAAACAAAATAATATTTGTGTGAACAGCGACAACCACCCATGGTAAAAATGCAGTTCGTGTTCTTGGCTGGGACCGTAATGTTGGAAGTTTTCATGTGCGCGTGGCCGGCTGACAATCTGATGGAAGTGGTGAGGTGCTTTTTTCGTATTACCTGTACAAAATCATAATTAGTATCGCGTGATATCTTTTTACCACCAGAGCGAAAACGCTATCCGAAGCTTCTACGAGTCAACGTGGTACGATGGATCTGTGAGGTTTCAAAAAAATTTGCTACTGTCTCTGATGCCTCAAGAGCCGGTAGCCATTAGCCTCGCGTGCCTCATTCCAGTCCTGTCGTTGAGATATTATTGTTCGGTACATAAATGTTTTCGTTGAAGCTAGTCCGTTGCATCTCGATGCCAACTGATATTGTTTACTGTTTCAGTACGTCTCGAATGCATTTTCCATCTTTACTGCTTTGAGACTCGTAGTGAATGAGGATGAGTAATGTTAGTCACACTGTTGTACGCGAATGATTTGTCTACTCTAGTCAGATGTATCCAAAAATAGAAGATACGGAATACATTTTGTTTATAAACTTGTCTCGATCATTTGTTCGCTCTTTGAAATTACTGCCTGTCGCCAGCGGGAAAATATGCGGCGACGTTAATTTCTTTTCCGCGACGCGAGAAAATCGTTAACGAAATAGAGGATCTCTAAGAAGAAGCTGACACAAGTGACAATTCCGTCTTAGAGAAATAAGAATTTTGATGGCCAGTAAATCTTTTACGCGTAGAAAATTTGTCGTACCGTGGCTCAGAGTTATTTAACCAATGATAATTAAAATAGATGTGATTTCCTTTACGAACAATACCTTGTGGCAGAAAATTGAGCTGTCAGTAGCGCTGTTCGTGCGACTGTTCTTAGGTCGAACGGTCTCGTAACGAAACGTTCCATTATGAGGTGCAAAACACGCCTGTAAATTCCGTTAGACCGAAATTTCGTTTTCAAGTAGAACAGTTCCGTTTGTTTCACCATCCTGTTCTTTTCCACCGGCGATATTTTTACGCGAAACATTCCATTAGCTTACACCGCTAACAGCGCACTGCGCAGCATTTTCCACATTTTCTTCTATACCCTTTTCTCGGTAATTTGAACCAAGTACCTGGCAACAGGCGGTTGAAATTGCGCAAATTCTATGAACTCGCGGAACGTGCCGTGTTCTCACGAGGCAATAAAATTATTATAACCAGCAATGCATCTTGATTACACAGCATGCGGCGCAACGCGTTATTTATTAATGTTGTCTACCGTTCGATGAAGTTCGCAACAGGGACTACAGCGTAGTTTTAAACCGATGACGACGGGATGTCATGATCGTTTAATGAGAGGAAATTGATATGGAGAATAATGTTAAAGGTTTGTGTTTCACTACTACGAGTCTCTGGCACCACGTGGTCCTTTAAAACTTTTCAAAATCGTACTCGAGCACGTATTTCGTTCTGAGATAAAGCATGTATCTTTGGAATTGAACTGCGAGAAAATAATTCTTGTTTCGTTTGTTCGATATCCTATGAACAGTAAGTGAAGTATGAACATTAAAATGAAATGAACGGTAAGTGAATGATACAATTACTTTACTTAATTTGACGGTCATGGGGTTCTTTGTGACGCCAGAGAAAGCGATCAAGTTCACGAAATACAGCGTGGCTCTGGTATGTTCTTGGCCACCGTCGCTTCTGGCTCCTAAAACTCAAATTGCAATTTTCAATACACTGTGGTACACGTTGTTCGCTAGTGCGTTCGTGTTGCTTTTGCCGCTATTAAGCGCGATTTACGAGTTCCGTATGGAACCCATAATTCTTGGGAAAACCGTAAGTCTTTTCGCGGCTGTCGCCCAAGTGGTGATTAAAATGACGGTCTGTCGCCTGCAGCAGAGGCAGTTTCAAGTAAGTCGACAGCTTCTTTGGCAGACTATCAACGAATTTCTCTGAAATCTGGCGAACGCGAATTTAGATACTTTCAGGCATTGTTCTTCGACATGGAGGATTTCTGCAAACGCGCGACCAAGGATGAGAAACTCGTTCTCCAGCATCACGTCGACAAATACAAATGCTTCCACGGCGTTTACACGTTCTGGTGTTTCATGATCACGATGTTCGTTATAAGCGGCCCGCTGTACACGCCGCAAACGTTTCCAACGCACGCGAGATACCCGTTCTCGGTGGAACGACAGCCGATTAAAAGTATTATCTTCTTACATCAGTCGCTAGTTGGTTTCCAGGCCTCCGCTGGCATGGCCGTCGATGCTCAATTTGCTCTTCTTATGCGATACGTGACGGCCAGATTCGAGCTTTTGGCGGTGCAACTGCGGGCAGCCAAGTCCGATCGCGACCTCAACGACTGCATAGAAAGTCACGGGAAACTCTTGAGGTAAACGACGGATACACTTTATTAAAAGCTTCTGAAATAATTACGTAAAACAAACAACTTACGTGGCTCGTCGAATTTCAGATATACGAGGGACGTGCACAAATCCGTCATAGTTATAGTTTTGGCAACGGTAGCGACGACAAACTTGGCGGTGATATTTGGCAGTTTAAATTTAGTCACCGTAAGTAGCTCCTCCGTTTTTCGTCGACCACAAAGCGGCCGGACGGGTCTGACCAATTTCCGGAATTTTCTGAAAAACAGAATCAACCGTTACTGTTGAAAGCTTTATACGCCCTCGTGGTGTTCAGCGCTAGTTTGGAATTATTCATGTACGCTTGGCCGGCTGATACTCTCATACACATGGTAATTAAAATAATCAGAGATTGAACTTTTAACGCTAGATTTACGCTTTGTCAAAGTCAGAGCGTAAACCAATATTTCTCTTTTTTTTTCAATCAAGAGTGCAAAGACTGCTATGGTCGCTTACAACACAGAGTGGTACAAATGGGACACTCGAATGCAGAAAAAGATTTTTTATATCATACTGAGGTCTCATAAACTCGTAGCCATTCGAATCAACGGCATTCTGCCAAACCTTTCGTTGTCCTATTACACAATGGTAATTTTTCACCTTGTATGACTAAAAAAATTGTGTCGTCGATCGAATCAGAACGTTTCGTTATTTTCAGTATCTGTACAAAGCATTCTCCTACTTCACAGCAGTGCGTATCATGGTCGGAACCGCCAACGATGCATGACGTTTTAAACAACGAAGGGTCTAGTAACCACATATGTTCTTAAAACATGTACATCAATAATACACGAATTATTCCACGCAATATCATGTTTCTTTCAAAATACTTATTACCATATGCTACTTCGTAGTACGAACAAATGTTTGCACCAGTATTTTCCCAAGTAGGGTGCGTAACCCTTAGAACAGCGAGGGCGTGTTGTAACTGAGAAGGTTGTAGGATTAGTTTATTCTATATTAACTTCTTCCAACAACAGATTATTTGATTCTACTTATTCCAAAGTTGCTGTGATAGAAATTTAAATTAAACCAACACGAAATTCTTTACCTCTCAACGACCGATTTTTAACTGCAGCTCAAAAGACAAAACAACTACCCCCTATCCATAAAGAAATAATTTACGTAAATGCAGAAACAATTTTGTTCTCTTATTTCAAGCAATGTTCCATATTATTTGCGTTCATCCTAAGTTATCAATACATATGAAGATATAACAGCAGTACATGAATTATTCGCGCGGCAAGTAACGCCAGTCGCAATCGTCGCGCAATGCAAACTACACCCGGAAGCGGAGAATAACACTTACAGCTATCATTACTAGGTGTAATGTGCAAAACACACCGGTACCTTAATCATTGTTATAGAATTCTTCAAGTGTGAAAGATAATAAATGTCTACAAACATCCCCCTGCATTTTCTTTCTAAACGGCATTCATCGTAGTTCTCTTTTACTGATTGCTTCTCTTGCGGAACGATATAGAGTGCTCGAGCACATTGCACTGACCCATTCTGCAACAAACGCATCGATTTTCGTTCCTGTCGTCTTTTAACGTCCCGAGTGAATCTCGAAGAGCGCGTTGCGCTTATTTCGTTTCGCATTATGTTCGAAAACGCAACGCCGGAGAAAGCTATAGAATTCACACGGCTCTGCGTGACTCTGAACTGTTGTTGGCCACTACCACCGACCGCCACCAGACTTCAGGTTCTGCGTTTCAACCTCCAAAGAGTCGTAACGGTCCTCAGCGTTTTAACACTTTTCGTCCCGCTGGTGTACTCGATCTACGTGAACTGGAATAACATGATCATCCTGACCAAAGTGGTTTGCTTCATCGATGCTTTCAGTCAAATCTTGATCCAGACGCTTTTCAGCGTTCTTCATCACGATCGGACTCAGGTAAAACCTGCGTCGATTCATTGATCATTCCAAGTGTTATCGAAGCGACGTGTTGCAGAGGTTGGTCCAACAAATGACGGAGTATTGCGCGAATGCCAAGTCGTACGAAAGATCTATCCTGCAGCAATACGTCGACAAGTATTCGATGTTTTACGGGACTGCTGCCACGTGGTTTTACTCGACCACGATTATCTTCGTCGTAGGAACCCTGTTCATATCTCAGCCGTTCCCAGTAGACGCGGAATACCCGTTTCCCGTCGATTACGAACCTCTGAGGACCACAATCTTCTTGCACCATTGTTACGTCGGTTTGCAGTGCGCTGCGATCGTTTGCACGAACGTGTTCGCCGCGTTGCTTTTGCTTTTCGCGGCGGCGCGGTTCGAAATTTTAATGGTGGAGTTTCGCGCCGTACGCGACGTCGAGACATTGAGACAATGCGTGAGAAAATATTACCGCGTGAGAAGGTATAAGACACTGTTGTGTGCGCCATAAGCGTTTCAAGTATTTTCGGAATAGCTGTTGAGAAGTCTGTCTTTCCAGTTACGCGAAGGAAGTGGTCAATGTTATTCAATACACGGCTATTTGTACGACATTAATAGCCACTTTACCACTTGTTTTCTGCGGTCTCAATATTATCGGTGTAAGTATACTCTACTGTTAGCCCTTGAAAGATACAGTTGACAGATAAAACAAGTTAATGTTTGTCCGATCAGCGACAACCACCCTTGGTAAAAGTGCAGTTTGCAGTGATGGCTGGTACTGCACTGTTGGAAGTTTTCATGTGCGCGTGGCCGGCTGATAATCTGATGGAAGTGGTGAGATGCTTTTTCATAGTACGAGATTCTAATTGCTGACGTAGTCGTTTTATTTTCAGAGCGAGAAGGCTGTCCGAAGCTTCTACGAGTCGACATGGTACGATGATTCGATGGCATTGCAAAGGAATTTAGTGATGTCGTTGCTGCCTCAGAGGCCGATAACAATCAGCCTCGCGTGCTTCATTCCGGTCATGTCGTTGAAATATTATTGCTCGGTATGGTTTTCTTTTGTCGAACCTTCTCTGTCGATGTGTGCTGTCAATTGATGTTTTGTAATCTTTCAGTACGTCTCGAATGCGTTTTCCCTCTTCACTGCATTGCGGCTCGCGCTGAATCACGATGGCTAAAGTTAATCGGACTACACTATCGTACGTAAATGATTACTCGAGTGTTATTAGCTCACAGTAGATATAATTATTCTAGTCAGCTGTATCCTAAAATATGAGATGCAGAATAGATTTCGTTTATAAACTTGTCTCGATCATTTGTTTTCTGTTTAAAATTGTCGCCAGTGTAACAATACGTGACGATGTTAACCCATTCCTGTGTTTTCCTATAATTTCAATGTAGTAACAAAATTGCATACAAAAATATTTAATGATTTGTTAGTAAGTAAACAACTCTTTCTATGTTTGACACTCAATTTTTGTCAACGATTCTCTCGACGTTTTTAATAATCCATTAAAAACCTTTTTATTTAACTCACCGTGTTACGGTTGATTTCACTGGCAACGGAATTTCAATAATGAGCAATGTTATTTACTGTACGAGAAAACGGTAAACTTTTACGTTTTCCTTACGCACGAAACTGCAACAATAGTAGATGAATTCATTGCACGTGAAGTAACGGGCATGGAAACCTACACCCGGAAGTGGGGAGTGAAACATGCAGCTGTCATTAGAGGTGCAATATGCATAACACTAGGAGCCCCCAATCGCCGCTATACAATTCTCTAAGCATTGTTTCTACATAAATACTCGCTATCATCCCTCTGCGTTTTCTTTGCAAACTCTATCCGTTGTAATTTTCTTGCACCGAGTGCTTCTTCTTTGAAACGGTATCGTGCGTTCGAGCCGATATCGCAAATTCATCACACGAGATATTTAGTTGCTTCGTTCGGAAATTCTGATACGTTTCGAACCTCGTCTCTGTTGTTTCTTTTGCTACCCCAAGTTACTCAATATTGCGTCGTTATGTTTCGAAACGTAACGCCGGAGAAAGCAATAGAATTTACTTGGCTCAGCGTGGCCGTAATGTGTTGTTTACCATTACCAGCTACCGCCACCAGGTCTCAGTTACTCCGTTTCAAGATCCTGAGATTTCTAGGTGCCCTTTGCGCCTGTGGACTGATTCTTCCGCTGTTATACGCTGTGTACATGAAATACGACGATCCGGTCATCTTCACCAACGCCGCTGGTCTCGCTGTGGCTGTTTGTCAAGTCCCAGTGCACGTGTACCTCTCCATTATCTATTACGATCGGATTCAGGTAAATTTTCGTTACAATTATCTTAATCGAGACGTTGGAATACCTGATGTGTTGCAGGCGATGATCGAATACATGACGAATTACTGCGGGAAAGCAAAGTCGTCCGAAAGACAGGTCCTCCAACGATACGTCGACAAGTACGCGACGTTTTACGGGTTGTGTACCGCTTGGTTTTACGTGACTGCGGCTGTCTTCGACGTAGGAGCTCTGTTCGCTGCTCAACCGTTTCCATCCAATGCCGAATACCCTTTCGCCGTCGATTACGAGCCCTTGAAGTCGCTGATATTCTTGCACCATGTGGTGGTCAGTTTCCAATGTTCTGGCGCCGTGTGCATGAACGCTGTGGCTGCGCTTATGATATTGTTCGCGGCTGCACGGTTCGAGATTTTGATGTTGGAGTTGCGCGCCGTTCAGAACGTCGAAACGCTGATACGGTGCGTGAAAGAATATCATCTCGTGAGAAGGTACGAGGCAAGTTTTATTCGTACTAAACGTCAAGTATCTGGAGTATGCAAAAGTTCCAAGCGGAGAACGTAATGTGTTTGCAGCTACGCTCAGGAAGTGGTCAGTGTTTTTCGGCACACGGTTATTTACACAACGTGTATGGCCACTGTACCGCTTGTTCTCTCCGGTCTTAGCATGATCGGTGTAAGTATATTATTAATCTTGATTATATTCTACAATGAAATATGTAAAATTACTTATCTCGACAGCATCAACCATTGGTGATAAAACTGCAATTCTTATTCTTGGGCGGGATTGCGTTGTTGGAGGTCTACTTGTGCGCGTGGCCAGCGGACGATCTATTTACTGTGGTGATTTGCTTTTCAATTCCGTCGCTGTGAATCTTCTATCGTTGTTACGTTAATCCTTTTTACCGTCAGAGTGAGAGCGTTGTTCGAAGCGTGTACGAAAGTAAGTGGTACGAACAGAACGTGGGAATGCAGAAAACGGTCCTCCTCGCGTTATTACCACAGAGACCCATAACCATCAGTTTGGCGTGCGTTATTCCAGCTCTCTCGTTGGAGTTTTATTGTTCGGTGTGAAAATACTTCTATCGAAGCCAAATCCGCTGCATTGCGATGTCAATTGATAATGTGTTGTATTTCAGTACGTCGCGAATGCGTTTTCTTTGTTTACCGCTTTGCGACTCGTGGTGAACGACGAGACATAATTACGGGGGACTAATGATACTACGCAAACTACTGGTTGACTATTAACATATTAAATTACATCTTGATTTAGTCAAATATACACTGAAATTAAAGACTGAGGATATACAATAAATGTTACTTTAAGCTTTTTTGATTGGAAAAATAATAGTACACTAAGCGTATTCTACTCGAACGTAAGACTGAAAATAATCGTACGTACGTGGGACTTTTATTTAGGACCGAGTTTGGTAAGTATGTTGTGTTTAGAATTAATACAGATTTTTTGATCGAGTGGATGTAGTATTTTTTAACACACAACTAACTCCGTGTTGTGTACTTCTTCGACATATTACATCACTTGTCACGAAAATAAAAAATGATATTTCCAGCAATCGTGCTTGATTACATCCAAAGCTGTCTATACAAACTGACTACCCTTATAATAATCGTAACATGCGGAAGATAACTTTTTTTTAAACTTCTTATACATTCGCAGTACTTGAATTAATTACGCACCTTCATCGCCCATCGCTATAGTCGTCGCGCGCTGAACCCGTAATTGCATTCGCAAATGAAGAGAAACATCTGCACCTGTCATTGAAGTAACAGCGTCCATAATATATTAATAACACCACTTCACGCAACTGTACGATGAGTTGCACGCAAAAGTAAGTGTAAGTACTTACCTCTGCTACAAATTACTGCTAAAAGCGGATCGTTGCACAGAATTCTTTTTCTTCTTCGAAAGCGATCGTCCGACGAGTCTTTCGTTCCTACGTTGCTAATTTCTTTCGTTTCAAAAGTGTGAAGCGTTTCGACTCGTTTTTCCCATCGCGATTATGTTCCAAAACGTAACGCCGGAGAAGGCTTTCAATTTTATCCGATTCGTCATATCGATGAACTGTTCATGGCCATTGCCATCGAACGCGACGAGGACGCAGACGCTCCGTTTCCAAATTAAGAAATTCGTAGCGGTCCTCAGCGCTTCCGTGATCACGTTTCCGCTGATGTACTCGGTGTACGTAAACCGGAACGACAAGATCATCCTGACGAAGGTGGTTTGCTTCGCCGACGCTATCGTGCACCTCTTCGTCCAGATGTTCTTCAGCACCATACACCATGATCGGATTCAGGTAAAACTTCCGAGGATAAAACCTTCGTACGAGAACGTAACCGTGGCGACGTGTTTCAGGCATTGGTGGAACAGGTGCAAGAGTACTGTGCGAATGCGAAACCGTACGAGAAACGCATTCTGCAACGATACTTGGATAAGTATTCGATGCCTTACGGAGTGACTGCATCATGGTTTTACTTGACTCCGACGTTCTTCTTCGTCGGAACTCTGTTTATAGCTCAGCCTTTCCCGATAGACGCGGAGTACCCGTTCCCCGTCGACTACGAGCCCTTGAGATCGGCCATTTTTTTACATCACGGTTTTGTCTGTCTGCAGTGCACTTCGATCGTGTGCAACAACATGTTCGCCGCGCTGTTGATATTTTTCGCGGCGGCGCGATTCGAGATGGTGATGGAGGAGTTCCGAGCGGTGGAGAGTATGGAAACGTTGATACAGGCGTTGCAAAAGTATTATCGAGTCAAAAGGTACGGATCGGAATAAGAAAAGTACGCGTCGATGAATCCGATAGCACACAGCGGAGGTAATTTTCTTTCTAGCTTCGCGCGGGAAGTCGTTAGCGTAATGCAATATACAGCTATTGCCACGACGATTCTGGCCACTTTGCCGCTCGTGCTCTGCGGTCTCAATATTATCGGTGCAAGTATAACACATTGCTACGAGAGACAGTCACGAAAGATGAAATCAGACATGTAAAAATATTTCTATAAACAGCGACAACCGGCGATGGTGAAAGTGCAGTTCGCGTTCATGGCTGGGATTGCAATTTTGGAGGTTTTCATGGTCGCGTGGCCGGCTGATGATCTGTTAGAAGCGGTGAGATGCATTTGCATACTATCCGCGCGGAATCTAAATTACTATTATACGATATCGTTTTACCACCAGAGCGAGAAAGCTGTCCAAAGTCTCTTCGAATCACCGTGGTACAACAATTTAGTGAAGTTGCAAAAAGCCGTACTGTTCTCGTTAGTGCCACAGAAACCGGTATTTATCAGTTGCTTCTACATCATTCCAGTCCTCTCGTTGAGATATTTTTGCTCGGTATGAGAACGCTTTCGTAGAAACTGGTCAATCGCGTTCCGATATCGAATGATATTTTCTGATGTTTCAGTACGTCTCGAATGCACTTTCCATCTTCACTGCATTGCGACTCGTAGTGAATGATGATTAGTAGTACTACCTCGAAATAGATACCATCATTTTAGTTAGTTATAATATTAAAATGAAAAATACAAAATACATTTTGCTTATATGCTTACCCTGATCATCCGTTTACTGGTTAAAGCTTTGTTGGACGCTTTCAGTATGTGCAATCGACGATACTGAAGGAAAATTGAGAATTTGTGAGTAAATATACTTCTGTACAGTAATTATTAGTCATCTACGAAACTTGAATAAACATCGGATACGAAATTTTATCCAAAGAGTAGCGATTATCCTTAATATTCGAAAGTGCAATAAAGTAAATTAAAATTATTTATTATTAATTAATACGATACCTTTCGTTTTGTACCTGGGCGCAAAGAACTTGTATATTGTGCCACCTTTTCCGGATAGCAAAAGATTGCCATGAAAGATTGCATCGATCCTTTTGAGGGCCAGAATGCTAAAAAAAAAAATGCCAAATTTAGGTAAAAATCAAAGTTTGTATTTGTCTCAACAAAAACAAAAAAGATAATTCAACTTCTTTCAGAAGAATTCCTGCGACGAAAAAGACAAATCTTTCAGAGGTACAATCTTTCATATTTATTCGCCATTCGACACTTGCAATATTTTTGCAGGCCGTTCTTCGACTTTGACTGAACACCATGATTGAAGTTACCGTCAGTTGACTGAGAAAAATTTACATAGAAACGAACAGTACGCGAATTATTTACACGCCAGGTAACGCTCGGTAGAAAACGGAGCTATACCCGTGGAGCGGAAAGGAAAATCTAAACGCTATCATTAGGGGTGCTACATGCGTATCATACTAGCAGACCCAATCTTCGCGTCTGAATTCTTCAGGTATGGATTATAAAGAAATATACGCCAACATAACTCTGCATTTCCTTCGCTAAAATTATTGATTGCAGTTTAAAGCGACACCGCGCATTCCAGCTCGCAATGCGAACCAATCGTACAGGAATCGTTCAGTACTCGCGCGACAAAGGAGTGAAAAGTTTCGTTTCTGAGTTTCTATTTTCAACAAACACATTATAGGCTTAATATTCTTTCATTATGTTTGGAAACGTGACACCGGAGAAGGCCGTAGACTTTACTCGCATTAGCGTAGCCCTGAACTGTAGTTGGCCGCTACCATCGACTGCTACCAGATTCCAGATGCTCCGTTTCCAGACTCTGCGAATCCTAGCGATCCTTAGCTCCTCGGGGCTTGTTTTACCGCTTTTGTACTCGGTGTACGTAAACCACAACGATCCAGTCATCCTCACAAAGGCGGCTTGTATGTCCGTAGCTGTTTCACAGATCCCGGTGCAATCGTGCTTCTGCATTGCTCATTACGATCGGATTCAGGTAGAATTTCCAACTATTTTCCACCTGTTCGATATCTACACACTCGCTTCGGAAAATAAGTCGATACTCTGAACAGTTTACAAACGAGAATCACCTTTGCTATACAGTTATTAAAAAAAATCTACTGATAATTGCGATATTTTACAGGGGTTGATCGAACAGATGACGGATTACTGCGCGAAAGCAAAGTCCTACGAAAGACGAATCCTTCAACAATACACCAACAAGTATTCGATGTTCTACGGGGTGTCCGCAACTTGGTTTTACTTGACCGCGATCGCGTTCATCTTCGGAGCTCTGTTCATAGAAGGAGCTTTCCCGGTGGACGCGGAATATCCGTTTCCCGTGAATTACGAGCCCATGAGGACGATGATTTTTCTCCATCAAGCGCTCGTCGGTTTGCAATGCGCGGCGATCGTTTGCGTGAACATGTTCGCCGCGTTGCTGTTGTTGTTCGCATCGGCGCGATTCGAGATTTTAATGGCGAACCTGCGCGCCGTAGAAAGCATCGAAACGTTGATAGAGTGCATACAAAAGTACTACGACGTGAGAAGGTGCTAGACAATGTTATTCTCTCGATGGAATGTTTTAAATGGAATACGTATTTTAGGTATGCTGAGCAAGTGGTTACGTTTGTTCGGTATACGGCCCTTTCCACAACACTCGTGGCCAGCTTTCCACTGGTGCTCTGCGGTTTCCATATTATCGGAGTGAGTACACGTATAATTCCAATATTATTTTAACCCGACGAGAATCAGTAACGCGAGATATTTTCTTTTTTTAAACAGCCGCAACCTCTCGCGGTAAAAGTGCAATTTCTATTCCTGGCTCTGACCGCGTTGGTGGAGGTTTTCATGTGCGCGTTGCCGGCCGATAACCTGATGGACGTGGTGAGTTTCGTTTACGGTATCGTCCCTATGGATTTTCAATCACGATCGTTTTCTTTCCGGCTATCAGAGCGCGAACGCCATTCGAAGCTTGTACGAGTCGTTGTGGTACGAACAATCCGTGGGAGTACAGAAGATCGTAATGTATTCGTTGGTGCCCCAGAAGCCGATAGTCGTCAGTATCGCGTGCATTATCCCAATCATGTCGTTGAACTATTATTGTTCGGTATGCGAATGGTCGTGTCAAGCTCATATATCACGTGTAATGTGCCCATCAATTGATCTTATGTAATATTTCAGTACGTCGCAAACGCATTTTCCATATTTACCGCATTGCGAATCGTGATGACTGACGACGAAGACGTAAACATGTTACGCGAGACTGTTAATACTACGTTTGCCACTGGTTGACTTCTAACTGCTGAAAGCAAATACATTAATTTTAGATAGCTCCTTTCGAGAATAAGTATTCACCAAACATTCTGCGTTTCTCTGTTCTTTTTACCGATTTGAAGATTCGAAAGTGAAATACGAGGTTGGGTCAGCGAATTGTTCGCGATGCAATGTCAGAATTACCGACGTAAGCAAACAATAGTGGTAATAAAAATACAATTCTCCTTTCGAGAATAAGTATTCACCAAACATTCTGCGTTTCTCTGTTCTTTTTACCGATTTTAAGATTCGAAAGTGAAAAACGAGGTTGAGTCAGCGAATTGTTCGCGATGCAATGTCAGAATTACGGACGTAAGGAAACAATAGTGGTAATAAAAGTACAATTTTGTCGACTCACCCTCCAATATCCTGCCACGGTTGTAGTTTTTCGATTGCCCGGTGTTCTTAGACGCGTTCCCCGCTAATTGCAAACAGCTAATAGCTAAACGACACGTATTAGCGAAATAATAACATGCAACTCTCCAGCCCCGTATGTAGGTTATTTTTACGTATCATGAGTGCAACGTGTACATGGATTATTTACACGCCAAGTAACGCTTGCTCCAACTATATTCGTGCAAGAGAAAGGAAAACTTGAAAGCCATCATTAGAAATGCAACACGTATAACATAATAGACGGCTAACAATTAATGTAACTGAAATCGTTTGGTATTGATTATACGGAAGCGTGTACCAACATACCTCGCATTTCCTTTACCACTATTATTAATTGCCGTTCCGTTGCGCCAGTTTCCACGTTTTTAAAAGCGATACTACTTCCCCGCCTTCATCAAGTACATTATTGCCTTAATTCCCATTATGTTCGGAAACGTAACGCCGGAGAAGGCTATAAGCTTCACGCGTTTCAGCGTGTCGTTGAATTGCTGTTGGCCGCTGCCGCCGACAGCCACGAAAACGCAATTGATTCGTTTCAAGATCCAAAGATTCCTAGCAATCGTCAGCTCTCTCGCGCTCGTTTTGCCACTGATATACGCGCTGCATGTGCATCGCAACGATTCGATCATCCTCACGAAAGCTGCTTGCCTCGCCGTAGCTTGCAGCCAGATACCAGTTCAGTCGTCTTTCTGCATTGCTTTTTACGATCGAATTCAGGTAAAATCTACAATTTTCCAGCACGTAAATCGACAAAGAACAATGGTGGCCATTAGTCACCTTTGGACCCAGCCGGATCCAAAACTGACCAATTTCTATGATCGTTCTTTGACGAATTGCAGGCATTGATCGAGGAAATGATGGATTACTGCGTGAACGCAAAACCGTACGAAAGATCTATCCTGCAGCAATACGTCGACAAGTATTCCACGTTTTACGGGGCATCGGCGATCTGGGTATTCCTGACTGCCGTTGCCTTCTCCGTGGTAACTCTGTTACTGGATCAGCCGTTCCAAACGGAAGCGGAATACCCATTTCGCGTCGATTACGAACCTTTGAGAACCGTGATTTTTATACATCAGTTTGTGGTCGGTCTACAGTGCGCCTCGATCGTATGTGTAAACGTGTTCGCCGCGTTGCTATTGTTGTTCGCGGCGGCGCTTTTCGAGATTCTAATGGTGGATCTACGCGCTGTACAGAATATCGAGATGTTAATAGAATGTATACTCAGGTATTACCATGTCAGAAGGTACGTGACAATATTACCAGGCATAAAATAAGAGATACCGTTCTATACGAGATTCAACCGGAATATCTGTTTCAGATACGCGCAAGAAGTGGTTGTATTCGCTCGATATACAGCTCTTTTTACAACGATCGTGGCCAGCTTTCCTCTCGTGCTCTGCGGTCTTCAAATTATCGGAGTAAGTATAACAAATATTTTATCAACGTATGTACGTGAAAATGATTTTTTTCTGTAAACAGCGGCAATCTTTAGCGGTAAAAGTGCCATTCATATTCTTGGTTCTGACCGCGTTAACTGAAGTTTTCATGTGCGCTTGGCCAGCCGACATTCTAATGGACGCGGTGAGTTCCTTATTGCCTTATTGTTTTTAATACTAAGCTCCAGGACGCTACTTTGTTCCATACGAATTTACAAATTTAAATTCTCTTTATCTACCAGAGCGCAAATGCTATTCGAGGCTTGTACGAATCGACATGGTACGATCAGCCTTTAGAGCTGCAGAAAATAGTGATGTACACATTGATACCACAGAAGCCTATAATCGTCAGTGTCGCGTGTGTCATTCCAATCATGTCGTTGAACTATTATTGCTCGGTATGCTAATGATTACAATGGGGGTGGATCCAGAAAAGGATGGCGAACGAAATACGTAAACGTCACTAGTAAAATGAATAATAGATATATTTCAGTTGCCCCCTGGCTCCCCTGAATCCGCCCCTAACTTACAGAGATGCTAGTTTTCCAGAATGTACTGTTAATTGATCTAATATAATATTTCAGTACGTTGGAAATGCATTCTCCATATTTACTGCATTGCGAATCGTGATGGACGACGAAGACGAAGACTTAATGCGCGAGTCTTTTAACTCTACGTTAACCAGCGGTTGACTGGTTAAATGTAAGTTGATTACGTGAAAGCAATATTATTACATACACCAAATTGGCTGAACCACACAGCTGAGAAATAGATGTGAACATTTCTTTGATCTCTACAGCTCATAGGAAATATATCACTTTTAGTCATCTATATCGAAAATAAAGGATATTTACACAAATTGTGTACTTTCTTGGAATACGGTAATCCCGCGTTTCGTGGCGAAAGATCGTATTTTTTCGGTTACTGTTTTTTAATAAAAAAAAAAATGCACGAGTAAATCACCAAGATAAGAAATGCACGAGCGGAACTTCCCACAGTAGCAAATACCCGCCCACCGCAGTTGTCTTCTCGCACGAGGCAGATAATTGACAGTGAAAGCGGAAAGGAAATGTTTGCAACTGCTATGAAAGCCTCGACAGATGTACCGTATCAATTCATCCGCGTAAATAAAAAGAATTGATCGATGGGTCGCTTACGTATGCAGCTGTACCGGGCAACCCTATGCAATTCCGTTGAATGTTGCATTCGATATCAATTCTAATATTCGCGTATTCATTTTGCATCGAAGCTCTTCTGTTCGGAAATCACACGGTTCGACGCATCGCATAATCTATTTATCGCGTATGTACCGGCTCGTAAATAAACTTTTCGCGAGTCAGTTCGCCCGCGGATCCATTTGCACGGTGCACCTCTTCTGGTATTTTCGTTGGCAAATCATTTTCCTCGCGATGTTCGGTGACATAACGGTGGAGAAAGCGATTACGTTTACCAGACTGAGCGTGGTTCTGACCTGCTGTTGGCCGCTTCCATCCTCAGCCACCAAATCGCAGCAGCTTCGTTTCAAGCTCGTCAGATTCGCGATGACGCTGAACGCGTTCATGCTCCTCTTATCCTTGCTGTACGCTCTTTACGTGGAACGAAACAACATTAAAAACTTCACGAAGGCTGCTTGCCTGGCGATCGCCGTCACGCAGATAGTGATGCAGACGATCTTCTGCATCACACAGTACGATCGTCTTCAGGTATCACTTTACCGACGTTTCGATCCGCGTCTTAACGAGTTCGATCGTCGATCGATCCCAGACAGGTTTAAGAGCCACTAATTTTAGCGACGCGTTGCAGCGATTGATCGAAGAGATGATAGACTGCTACGCGAAGGCGAAACGATACGATAAATACGTGTACCAACAGTACGTGAGAAAGTATTCGACGTTTTACGGGATGTCTTCGATGTGGTTCTACATGACCGCGACTACTCTTATCGCGGGCACCTTGTTTATATCCGAGCCCTTCCCGATGAACACCGAGTATCCGTTCTCCGTCGACTACGAGCCCCTAAGGACAGCCATCTTTTTGCACCAGGCACTAGTCTGCATGCAATGTGCTGCACACGTGTGCATCAACATGCTCGGCGCTCTGCTGCTGTTCTTTGCAGCAGCAAGGTTCGAGATTCTGATGACAGAGCTACGAAACATCGTCGACGTTCAGGATCTCATAAAAGGCGTCGAAGGATATTACTCCTTGAAAAGGTAGGAGGACTACTTTGAACGCTGGAACCAGAGACAAATGGAAAATATTTACCGTTAATTAAAATTATTACGTCCCTGGTTTGAGCGTCTGGTAATTATACAGAGTGTTTGGCCACCCCTAAAATAAGGCAAAAATCAAGGATACTAATTTGTTGATTGAGGCATAAAAGAATTTTTTTCTCGAAAGTGAGTAGGATTTCGAGGGTATATCTATTGATAAAAAATGATTGTAATTGACCTCCGCAATCGAAAATAATTTTTCCGTGAATGATTAAAAATTTTTTAATAACGAAGCCTTAATCAACAAATTGATATTCTTGATTTTCGTCTTATTTTGACCTCTAGAATCTCTCATTAAAATTTTTCCCAGGGGTGACCGAACACCCTGTACATTTCCGCAGAATAAACGCGTGGAACGTGTTGTTATAGATACGCGCAGGAAGTGGTCAAGTCTGTTCAATTAATTGCTCTGAATACGATAACAATATGCGGCGTAGCGCTTGTGCTATGCGGTATTAATTTCATTGCGGTAAGGATTCTGCTAAATTAATATTTCGCGCGAAAGCTACATATCGGATTCCGTATAAAAGAAACGCGTAACGGAAAGCAATTAATATAGATAATAACGAATACACGTTAGAGAAATGTGCTCTTTATTCCCGAACAGCGACAGCCCTTCACGGTCAAAGTGCAATTTTTATGCTTGACTGCGACTGCGTTGTTAGAGGTGTTCATGTGCGCGTGGCCAGCGGATCACTTGATAGATATAGTGAGTTTATACCACTTTTCTCGAATTGCTAAAGGCTATTAAGTGAGTTACTGTTACCGTCAGAGCCAGAATGTTGTCCAAAGCGCGTACGAGTCCACGTGGTACGAGCAAGCATTGAAAATGCAAAAGAACATGCTGTCTATGCTGGTACCACAGAAGGCGGTGGCCATTCAAATCAAATGTATCATTCCGGTTTTGTCTTTGAGCTACTACTGTTCGGTACGATTGCATTCATATTATTCTAGGTCCTATCAACGATACGACTATCGACAATTTCTCATGTTTCAGTATGTCTCGAACATATTTTCCCTGTTCACCGCTTTACGGGTAACGATGATGAAGTACGACGACGAAAGTTGAACGTTCGAAATTGAAAACAGGCCTACGTTGGATCGTTCTCTTCGTACCTCAAGGTAAATGTGTCAATTTTAGTCGTCAGAGTTTTAAAATAAAGGAATATTTCTTTAAAAATTTCTAAATCTCAAACGTTCCCTTAGTCTACTTGTTCTCCACAAATTCTGCGCAATATCCTTTTTAATAGAGCGAATATTTAACAGAACTGGACAGTAACTTACAGTTATTGCGACTCGCGACGCTCTTATTGTACTTTCTACCAACCTCTGTACATTAACTTAGTAATTAAGCACTGCTTCCGAGAAAAGAAATCGCTTCGCAGAGTTCAGATCCTGTCGACGAAACGGAAACGGAGCGGTTTATTGGGTACGTTCACCATCATGAATCTGCTCTTGATATCAGCGTAATCGTACTCGATTCTGAATTGCCGTACAAGCTGAAAGAAACACGAGACGAGGAATTCCACCTGTGCATTTATCGTATCGCGGGATCGACCGTGTTCGCGTTACCTTCGCAGTCAGCAACATCATGGTTGTCTCGGCCATATTCTTTCCTAAACACGATCTAACCCCATAACCGAACGGTAAGCAGCTAAAGTCCGTCTTACCATCCGAATAATTCGTCAACCATCTTTCTGGACGGAATTTCTCTGGGTCCTCGTAATTTTCCTCCCGTTGCGAAGTTATTTGATTGGCCATTATGACAAACGTCTTCAAGAACATTTATAATCGACTCGATAACGACACGAAACCCAACGACGATAGACTTTCTAGTTAGTTTACTCACCCCTTTGGGTATCGTGTATCCGTGAAGGGAAATTGTCTTCGGCAGAAGTCTGGTAAAGTACGGGAACGCAGGTCTCAACCTTCGAATCGAACCATCGATTTAACACGATTAAACACGACACGACGTATTTGCTTCTATTCGAAATCTCACCTTAAACTTTCTTGGAGACACGCTTTCAAGTACCGCATATTCTTCAGCGAGCTCTCCGTCAATGGGGAGTCTCTGTTCGGCAAAACGTTCACGATCTCGTCGTAGACTTTTCTCTGAGTACGCGGATTCTTCGCTAAATGATACAGTAAAAACGCTTCGCAGTTTGCAGTCTGGAAACGTACAGAATTTTCGATACCCGCGACCGTTCTTGCTGGTTTTAATTTCAGATCGTTACCGCCTGTACGCCCAAGATGATCATGTCCATCAACATCGTGCAAATATCGTCCGGGTGGATTCCATCGCTCAGAAGGAACTTCTCCAGAACCGGCGAACCCTCATCCACTCTCGAATTCTGTCCAACCGACGACCGGTTTCGAAGCTTGCTTTGTGCCAGACGAATGTACTTCCCGACCACGCTTTCGACAAAAAATTAATCGCTTCGAATGTTTTTTTCTTTCTTAACAGCGTAGGAACGATTCTACGAATCGATCGTCGAATTCTGAAAGAGCTGGTGGAAAGTTTTGTACTTACGCGTCGATGACGTCGCAGGCTTCGAAGAGATTCTTGGCGAAAGGTGTCAGGAAGAACCTCCACACCTGAAAACCCGTTTCGCAACGACTCATGTACTTGTGAGCTGTCGCCAAAGCGTCCACGATCTTTGCAGTTTCCGACGTCGAATTATATCCGGCTGACTCGAGAAAACCGACGTGGTTGTTCAATGTAACGGTGAAGAAACATTCCATCGCCCAACGCAGTATGTCTTCGTGAAAATTGCGGGGCACCTGACGACGATTAAAAATCTCTGTTAGAATCGGGCTAAGGGCTCTTGGAATTCTCGAATATTTTCAAGTCGGATACGTACTTCGTCTTGCTTGTTGCGTATTTTCTGTACTCTGTTGATCAGTTCGTCGCTGACCGCGTCGATCTTGCAGAAGAAGTTTGAAGCTATCTGGTTGAACTCCTCTTCGATTTTCTCTCTCACCTCCAGCCACTCGGGACCCTGCCTGAAGAACTCCCGATACAGAATGCGACGAATTAACCGCGTGTAACACTGTTCGAATCAGAGTAATGTTGGAATACTAACAACGAGAACGGCCCAGCGAGGCGATATTTGCGATGATGTAAACGATAGTGCTGCAAAATGTCTATTCCACTTCGAATGGGGGCGTCCCCCTCCTGTTTCAGAACCTCTGCTACGTGCTCGGGCCTACGAACGTCAACAAGTGAACGAAGGTCTATCGAAGTACATTGCCGAGGAAAATCCTACCTGTGAATCATAACGATGTCCCCGGACAGCGGACCGTTGACCCTCACGATACAACCATACTCGTTGAATAAATACTTGAGAGGCGTGACGTTACGATTCCACGTGAGTCGTCCTGAAAACAACTCGCGTGAGATTTAAACGAATCTCGCTCGACGATATTTTTCTATTCTCTGTAAACATCGATGGCTGTTTGCAATTACCCAGAACCACGAATCTCAAAAATAATGTACAGAAATCAATTCTGGAAACTCTCGTTCGTCGCGTTGGACCAAATAAAACTTTTTTGACACGCCGTTGGACCTATCGGTACTTCAACGGATCGTACCCTGGGTGAACCTGTTGATTAGCAGACTGGAAAACAGTTGCGTACCCAGCAGCGGCACGTATTTCCAGTACTTCTCCCACAACTTGAGAACAGCGGGTCCAGGAACCTCTTCGAACGGTAATGGTGTCCTGTCCACGGTCATCTGTTGCTCGATCTTCGCTGTGGGCACCTCGAACGTGGCGGAAGACATTTCTGTAGACGCTGAATCCAGCAAGGGAATCGAATCTGCTCCTAGGGGCTCGGCGACGATGGCAGCTGCTTGAGTTTGAGTCATGGACGCGGCTGAAACGCAAAATAATATTAAAATTAAATTATACATGCTTCTTTTAACTTTGAATCGTGCTTACAGATGATGTCCGAGGCGTTGATATTCAGGCATTTCTGGCCCTCGGTCACCGTCAGAGGCTTCGTCGCTTTTATCACCGAATACTGTCGCGAGATCAGCGAGATTTTCGGCAACAGACTCATCTTCTTTCTGAAATCAATTAACTATTATCCGTTGATTATTCCCAACGAGTCGCCACGAAATTGCCTCACTCACCGGTTTGTTTTATACAGTAGAAGATTATCCGCAGGAAACTTTGTGACAAAAGATAACAAGTCCGTTGCCTCGGTAGCGGATGGAAAAAAAGTTTGAACGTAGCGTTTTGGAAATGGTGGCAACCTTCATCGAATCGAATCGTTCGGCGTCGCGTGCTCGCATCGACAACAATGCGATCGCTTGTATAGAAACTTTATTTATTTTACAAACTTATAGCTAGAAATTACAAAGTAGACCCGTATCGATAATCGTTAATGTACACTCGAGAAGTTCACACGTCGACTTCGATCTCGACGTCCTCTTCGTTCTCCGAGGCAGTCTTCTCCGTCGTCGCGTTCCTCGAATTGTCCTTACCTAATTTCCTAGACAAGTCCTTCTGCGTATCGAGATTCGTCGTAGCGGCGTTCTCGCTTTCCTTCGTGTGCCGCCACTTCATTCGTCGATTTTGAAACCAAACCTTTACCTACACACAGCGGAAAAGTTGGACAATTTTTTTAACTGTTTTCCTTTTGTAATTCTGTTCTCTAACGTTTCGATACACAACCTGCGCGTCGGTTAGGCCAAGGGTCGCCGCCAGCTGCCTCCTGTCCGGTTTGGTTATATATTTCTGCAACGAAAATCTCCTCTCCAACCCTTTCCTCTGTAAAGAGCTGAACACGGCCCTCGACCAGGATCGTTTTCTTCTCGCGTTGGGTTCCGGTTGGCTCGTCGGCGTCGTCGTGGAAGTTATCGGCGCTGTAAATTAAAAATAAATCTCCCGTGGAACGAAATGTAGAATTTCGAGCGAGCAACATGTTAGTTGATACATCGTTTTCTGTCTATAAAGCCGAACGCGGGGAGATCGGTCGCGGGGCACGCGGTGCATATCAGAAATCGGAGGGAGACGTGACACGATGTAAACGGTAGTCGAAACTCTTAAGCCGGACGGGTGTCTGTTTCAACAGATCCTAGCACGAACAAGAGGCCCCCGCGATTGGGTACTTCTGGCTGATTTACAGCCCTACAGAATGTATACAACATGTGTACGAATTTAAACAGTGCGGTTCTCTCTCCGGTTGGTACGGTCCTCAGAATGAATTGGACGACCGGTAGGATCATAGTTATTTCTGGACCTCTATGCCGCTCTTCGAAGATGCAACTTCTCGGAACTCTCGTCGTCGGAGTCGGATTTTGACGAGTAATTAAAAATTCTGCCCTTTGCAACGCGTCGCAAGAAACGGATAAAGGGAGAAAATTGAAAAAAAAAAAACAGAATAATATAGGCGTAAAATGCGTTTAATTATGGTAATTGATATTTTATAGCATTCGAGGGTTTCACGAGGACGCGGAGAGGGCAGTCGAAGGTTCCGACTTTTAAACTAACGAAGAAGGGTCCCGACGAAACCGCTGTTTACGTCGCGCGTAAACGAATGGTGGCACTTAAGATGTCGTTTAAACACGGGCAGGAAACACGAGAATACACTGACGCGTAAATATTTTGCCCTACTTGCTGGCGAGTATTCGAGAGACAAGACAGTGGTCCATATGGTCGCATTTGTTAATGACGCAACGTTCGTATTCACGAGCGCAGGTTCGCGCGATGATTTCCGCTAAAGAGATCTAAATCTCTTCTGGGGGGTCTTTAAATTATCGATTAACTCGAACGATGAAACAATCTGTCTACGATGCAAAGAACAGATTCTTCTAAATTTCAAAGAAACGAATTATGCGTGGTGTTCGTTTATAGTTCGACCGTTTGCGCAATAGATAAATAATTGTTCGCGCCTGGATTATCGAGAACTATTATTATCTATTCCGTCGGCGTTACGAAATTTTGTAGAAATGCTATTCTTACCTCGAGGGACAGGTCGTAGAGGAGCTGGCCGATAAATGTTTCCATAATTTTCGATTATTCCGCCTGCGTGATTCGTGTTGCCATAATTGCCAAGAATCGTAGTTTGCCCGTATATAGGTCTGGGGCAAATTCGAAGGCCTTCGCACCTGACGCAACCTCCGGGACAGAGGCACCGCACGGTGGAAAATTGCACCGGAAGTGGCCTGAGCACATCTTTTCGAACGCACGATCTTACTCAAAAGTTGTCCATAAGAACGTGAAATAAAAAGTGTCCCACTCAAAACCAGCCGCTTAATTATTCTCCATTAACTATAACGATACAAAAATGCGCTACATACATAATTTGCACAGTCTCGAAGGACGAATACGCAGTCAGAAAAATTTTCTTTCCATGGTTGGTATTTTTTACGCGAAACGTAGTACTTTAGGATACCATTGGGAAGAAAAGTTTTCGTGAAACATATTTACCCTGACGAACCATTTAAATTAAGTACGAAATACTTTTCGGTATCTTCGCGACGAAATTAAATAATTAAGCGATCCGTTTCGAATGGAAGTGATTTTACCTGTTTTCTTCGAAGAAATTTCATCGGACAGTATGCGTTCCACGCCGAACTTTAATTGCTTCGAACAATTTGTTCCATCCACAATGCAGGTTTTGAGTTCGTTCATTTTTATCACTCGTCAAAATTCACTTACGATCGTTCTAAATTTTTTAACTACCTCTGTCTTTCTCACTCGACGATTTGAAACGTTCACCACATTTTCACGAGTAAAGTTCTCGTCAGGCACAAAGCACTTTGGTCTCACTGTTTTTGTTTCATGATTGAAACAAACGACTGAACGCGGTGTTTTCGATATTCAATTTCTTTACCATCGAGGACCGGATGAGTAGGAAACGCGAGATAATTAACCGCTATGGAATGACTTTCACGGAAGTGCATAAGAATGAATGAGCGAAGGTATTCCTGCCATCTTCAGAGCAGATTTTGGTTTAAAAAAAAATCATCCGAGTTGCCTGCAATTTCGAACGCGGGATTGGTCCGCGCGGATGCTGTAGGCGTGTCTCTAAGAAGATTGGTCCCTGAAGAATGATGAGTCTGAGCCAGGCTTGCGAGCCTCCATCGAGCGTTGCTCGTAAGCATTACGCTTCCCGAGCTTTTTATTAAGTAAATATTGTAAAAGGTACTCGCCCCGTAAAATGTTACGAAACAAAATAAATAATTAACAAATTTATACGTGAAACCTCGACGACATCTTGGCGCGGGCTGCAAATTAATTTTATTTCTTGTGCGTACAATTTAAAACGCAAAAAATGAGTGTGTGATCGAGGAGCTTCGATCGATTCGAACACTCCCTTTGTAAGTTTAATCGCAGTTCGTTGTATTATTTTACTGGATACGTAAAATACTCCTTCACCCACAGATAATGCTTTAAGAATATTGTTTGGATAGAATTTTTTACCGGTGTTGCTGAGAATGATTTTAAAAAATAACTTTGAACAGCGTTTGATGCGCGAAAAAATTATGAACGACACGAGTGAACGAAAACAACGGTAAAAACATGAAGTTCCAAAAAATGCAACTCAGGCTATACATATCCGTGGAATAATAGCATAGAGATGTATGGCCGATGATATCTCTGGAAGCCATATGGTTATCTTTGCATGCAGACTTTCGGAGTATACAGTCACTTAGGTGTTTATTTGGACAGCCATGTTTGAAGCAGCCTCTCTACCCACACGCTAAGAATATTCTTCGGGATATGTACACACCGTGATCCTCTATTCGATTTTATTAGGTTTTAGGATTTTCGAGAGTCCACCGGATCATGATAATCGAACTCCTAATTGAGTCCGTCGATCACCAGGGATACTTTGTCGCGGCCATTTCGCGAACTCCCACAAGCCAATCTATAAACTCCCTTTGTTTCTCGAGCACAGAAAAAAAACTAGATCAACGTAACACACTAACGATTAGTTAATTTCAATATTTGCGCGAAAGGAAAGTGAATCGATCTAAACGCGAAATGTTCATGTTAATAATTTTGCGTATTATCAACGTTTTGGCTGCGCTTCAGCTGCAGCCAGTATTAAAATAGAACACCATTTTCCGCCAATGTTTACTAAGGGATGGTACCAAATTTAAAATTCTCTCGAAACATTATCTTAAAGTAAACTGTGTTATACAAAATATAAAACGTTGGTAGATTAGTTAATTGTACATCGCGTAGGATCGCGAGAGCATGATCATTCCCTGATAGAGCTTCTCGATCTCGAAGTCGTTCTCCGCTGGATCGTAGATCAGGACGTTTCTCTTGGGGCGATTGTAGGGTTGCAGACCTTGCAAATTCTGAAATACAAGGCACACGGTATTCGATTGCACTTCGGTTACCTGGAATCGACGCGTTCCCGCGGTTTCTGGAAAACGACGTAATGTCGAGCGCAATTTCCAGCGGCGCCAGCCGGCTCGTATCGGGTTTGTTTTTCAATAGCGCCGCGTGTTTTCCGATTCGAGAGGCATCGACTCACCGAGAGCACGATAACGTTCCCGTTGTTCCCGTTGTTCGAGTTTCGACGAATAGCCGTTATTATGAGCGTCATCAAATAGCCGCCAAAGGCCAGGAAGGAGAGCGCGGTGACCGCCAGCTGGAAAATTTTCGAGATCTTCGTGTCCTTTCCCTTCTCCTCGTAATGCTCCTCGTATCGTCTCATTGGCTTTTTATTCGCGCCCTTCAAAGGGAGAGCCATCGGCAGAGACAGGGACAACGTTCTGCTGGACGCCTCGACAGACTCTTCGTCATCCTCGATGAAATCTGTGCACGTAAACACATATCACTGATCATTGTACGATAAACGGCGATGAAAATAAAATTTTTACAGGCCAAAATTGTACCTCGTTGATCGTTCCAATAAAGAACAGTTGTGTAATCATTATACGTTACGTTTGCCTTTGTGCTGGATGCTTTTAGACGCGAGAAGTCGAGTTCGCAGCGTACATTAGAAGAGATTAATATTTAGATTGCAAGGCATTGAGTATGTGATACGATCGAATCTAGTCAATCGTTTCATTGAAACGATCGGGAAACCCATGGTCTGCTTGGACTCGCGGCCAAATTTAGTGCGGCAGTAAATGCGTTTAGGCTATATTTTCCAAAGTGGGGGCTGGGAACCCTGGGCGGGGCTTCTTACGATCCAAGGAGGGCGCAAAGAAAATGTTTAATCTAGAAAAGCGTTACTTCTGACCGACTCCTTCTATTAATACGTTCGTCCATCGAGACTTAATAGCCACATACAGTGGAGTAAACACGATTAAATTTAAATATACCATTCGTCACGCTTAATAAATGCTCTTCTCTACCTTTCTCGCCCACGAAGGAGGACTTTATTCGGATCAGTTCGGCCATCGGCAGTTCGCTCAGCCCGCGAATCTCGTCCGCGTATAAAAATGTCCAATTCCCAGACGCGGTTTCCAAACACGAAAACAGCAATAAAATAAAAGCCGCGGCAACAATCACCGCGTTGAAGCTCCTGAAACCGAAAGCGTTGAAAGCGTTTCGTAAACATCGACCTATCATTGAAATAAAATTCTAATATCAAACGAGCCACTCACCTGCTCGCCATGTTGGACCGCTGAAAACACTATTTGGTCTAAACTCGACGCGATAAAGTACACGAAACGTTTCTCGTCTCGACAAACGTTCGTTTTGTACTGTTTCAAGATACATCCGTCTCCCGAATCGCGAAATCTCCTTTCTCGTGCTTGGTCGACAAAGCGAAAAGAGTCGCAAACGTCGACCAAGCCACGAATCAGGAACGGAAACGGTAGAACTCACCAGGGTGGAAATGTGCAATTAACACCCGTTACCAGAGAATCGAGTGCGATTTTCAGTGTTCCTGTATAGTTTGTCGCGTCACCATGCAGAAATTTCTGTGCATCTTAGGCGTCTGCGTTGTTACGAGTTTTGCAGCTACCTTGCCCGAGAAGAACGACGGTCGGTCACGGAATATTGGAAAATATTCGAGGATCGCTTTAAATTTTAATAGATACGTTTTGTTTATTCTATCGCAGGTGTCCTGGGCAAAATAAAAGCGGGCTTGGAGTACGCGACGAATTACTTGGAAACCGCGAAGGACATTGCTGATTTGGTGGCCAGAAGTTTGGGTCGTAAACAGAAAGAGAAACTGGGCGAAGACTACGTACCCAAGCAGAAGGGTAGTTTCGTACCCTCCAGCATTATGTCCGCGTTTTTCCGACTCGTTGGCCTCGACTCGCAGAAAGTTACAGCGATCGCTGTAAACAGCGTCATATTTCTTGCGCAAATGGCAAGTAAAATCGTCCCCCATTTATTCTCGTTTATCCGACAGAAAACTCTTTATAATTCGTACTGTTCGTAGAACGTGATACATCATATAATATACAGTTTACGACTCACTAATATTTTACAAGATTACGGACGAGTCGATCGTAATTTACTTCGACGCGATCGTTTGCAGATAAGCTCGCTGTTTGGGCTGAAACCTCCGAAAGAGAACATCGCGAGGGAGTTGGACGACGAGGATGAAACGTCTTGGAATCCTGCAAACATAATCATGGACAGTAAGAACGAAAGAGTGAGTTGATGTTAACGTTAAAGTCAAATTGGTACTTTATTTTGGGGGATGAAACGATGTTGTTTTCAAGATACAAAAGTTGATCGAACAGGCGCACGACGACAGTCTGGCCAATCAATTGATCGAGAGGGTAGACGGAACGGATTCCTCCTGCATCAGATTGTTGGTTTGCAAAACGTCGCCGGTGATTAGGGCGGCGCAAAGTTTCCTGAAAAACAAGACTGGTAGCAAATACCGGCGAATGACTTCGTGGCTGCCTAGCAGGGACGAGTTCGAGGAAAACAGCGATCAGTGTGAAAACACGCACACGGATTGCAGTTTATTTGCATAGCCGCAATTATCAAACCGATCCACTGTTTATTTAACTTTATTTGCCGGAAGGTTCGCGAGGAAGAAATCCGCTTTTTCGATCGTAAGTACCTATTAATTTGTTACGGGGAGAGTTTAAAGACGGGAATGCAGGAAGCTCGATTTGTATAGCATATATATTTGCACCCATACAAATATATACTATATTACAGAATATACAAGGTACATACTCCAAAAATTACTTTACTGAATCTTGTACGTCGTAATGCCTCCTGTATTGTACGCGTACGCGTCGACGAACGAAAAGAGAAAAGCAATGAATTTCCATGCAACTTCTCTCAAACTATGTATCGTTTATTTAAATAAACTCCAGCGAATGAAGTTTGGCCGTACGTTTCGCATTTCCGGCCATCGCCAGGATGGCCGCGCGAGTTTCTTAAATAAAATTATATTTCGTCGTGTCGCTTAATCCTTACAAACAATGTGTCATCCTCTCTTCCATAACGCAACGAAACGCGAAGTCCCGTGTCCCGGATGAAAGAAACTACTCTTTCAAAATAGTAACTAAACGTTCGAATAAAACGGTGCATAATAAAACCTTACCGTGAACAAAACTTAAACACGATGCTTAAAAACCTAATCGACGTAACGTAAACACAGTTCTCGTCCGAACCAGGATCATCCCCATATTTAAAAATGTTCTTTTATAATTAAGATGCACAGCTTGCAGTAAAACTAGTTCGGACGAAAGGTACGACTCGTAAATGCTAAAGAATGGCCATTTTTTTACCCGAGACACGACGAAACCTCTTTCTAACTCATTGTGCGAGGAACTTAATATCGAATCGACGTAACAAAACAACGGAATCGAGTTGTAAAACGCATTCTCTCGCGGGCTATTGCACAATGCTCGAAGCGCTCGATGCACAAACATCGACGGTAGATTCGTTCACGAGGAAGATACTTGTACGATTCGCAAGGACGGTGCTAATGTAAAATCTCTACACTGTGGAACGTTCGTAGGGATTATCGAGGGCGTTCCGGAGTCGAACTCTACGATTCCAAATATCGACTCGACGTTCTATCGATACATATTATCGTAATTACGTTGATCAACGTAAGGACGATCGCTAAACGAAACAAAGTTGTACGAAGTATCAACGTGGAGAGTAACAAGAAAGAAGGAACCGTTTGCTTAACAACTACGAGGAAACAAGGTTTTATCGTAAAATCGCCGGGAGATTTCTAGGGTATAGTTACCAGTTAAAAATTCAGTTAATATTTTCGCGTCTGACAGGGTGGAGTCCCTGACCGCTCTATGCTATACATCTAGTGAGATCAGGATTATTGCGGGCTAAATGCATCGGGATCGAAGATCGATTGAACTTCTAAAATTATCTGTAATTGGTACGGTGGAGTAATTAGCCGTCTCTGGGGTGATTCGATCGTACCAGAGACGTTTGGCATACACCGGCCGTCTACTTTCCCTGTAAATATCGTGGTACGCGCGGTACGATTAAGAATGTCGTTAATTATGAAAGTTTGGCATTCGAGAGACATATCGTGGTGAACGCGGCAGAGCCTCGGACGCGCGCTCGAGCTTCGAGTCCCGAACAAGTGGCCGAAAAATCGGTCTCGTACCGTCCGTTGTCCGGGCGCTTGTAAAACGTGTCTCAATGGCTCGCGACAATGAGTATACAAAAGCTAAGTCTCCTCTATTAATAACTTTGATTCGGATTATCACATGCGTTCTGTAAGTCGTGAGAATTACAATCGTCCACTCATCGATCCTCGAAGATCGCGCGATCGGTTTCGTCTGCGGTATTCGCCGCAGACGCGACATAACTTACGCGAAACGGCTCCGAGTGTCCGATAAATGTTATACGTTACTTAGTACGTGTATAGAATATAGAGGTATAATTACATTCTCGTTACACTCGCGGAAAAAATCGTTTCTCGAAAATATATATAAAGGATGAACAGACTGTCGGGCAAAGGAACCAGCGAGAACCGTAACGAGTCGCGTACGGACATCGAGAAATTCTTATTTACAATTAGAACTCTGTCGCGTCCGAAGGTTCATCGCGTCCCGTTCCCACGTCAATTTACAAACTTTTTGCCACATTCCCCTAAGCCTTCGTTTTACCTCTCGTTCGAAAAACGCTAAACGTGGACGCGTACGGCTCGATGCAACTGTGAAAACTCGAGGGCGAATATTAAGCTCGCGAAACGTTCCTTCGTTTCATCGTCGAGAAGGCTGCTCTTCCAGCGAACGTTTCAAGGAACGCCTATGCGCGCCGACGTCGTCGCGTCCCGACGCCCCAGGGCTAGGGGCGACGACTACGCGCGCGTTTCCAGTCTTGATTGTTGATTCAGCGAACGGACGAACTGAACTCGTTAGGAACAAACGGAGACGAAGTTCGAGACCAACGCAGCGGACTCGGTCGGAACGAGTGCACGTTACCAGACTTATTCTAACGACGAACGGCGAAAAACTCGCTTCCAAACGATACTGGGTGGACACGGTCAATGTACGATGGCTAAAGGAACGCGTAAATAAACGTGTCGCTACGAATGTACAGAATAAAACTACGTACAATGGTCTATCGGTCGCGCGAAAGAACCCTTTTGCTTCGAGCTCAGCCGGGTCTCTTCTCGAAGAGAGCCTTCAACGAACCGATTCCTTTCGTGGTAGGATCGCTTCGCGAACGAGTCACGGTTGGAAACGAATTTTTCGACAGACAACGGTTTGCTCTTCAGAGGGTCGCCTGACCCGGACCGATCAGGTCGGTGTTTTCCACGCGAGCCTGACGCAACCAGTCCCTCAGATTCCAAGTCCTCTCCATCAGGTTCGAGGAGGTTTTCTCGACGGTCCCGACGCTGGTCGTGAAACCGCTGTTAGGACCGTACTGGGCGATGATGTTTTGCGTGGTGGTCGTCGGCGGTTGCGCGGCTGTCAACTGGGACAGGATGTTCGACTGGATATTCGGAGTGCCGAACGTTCCTGGAAGAAACACGCCGTCAACGATCGTACACTCTTATTTCGAACCGGACGTCGCCGATTCGAAACGATTTTCACGGACCTTGGACGTTGTGCGGCTGCGCCGACAGATGATGCAAACGTAGCCATCGCAAATAGGAATACATCAAAGTCGGCGGCGGCGGCACGTTGCTGTCCTGCCGCTTATTCAGAACGCCCCAAATCTCACGTATTTCCGAGTTTAGGTTTTCCAGACTTGCGATGATTTCCGTCGACTCCTGGTAGTGATCCGGTTTGTCTGAATACGGGGGATCATGACACAAAACCGAAAATAAATTCTCGAGTGAGAGGAAACGATCGCGAACGTATTCGGCAGCCAGTCGGACCGAGAGCCGCGGTCGACCGAGAACGGAAATCAAACTCGAAGCTGACACGAAGGAGAGTAAAATCAGGAAACGATGGAAACGATGAGTAACGGAAAACGATGATGCGGAGATAGCGAATGGTGAGTGCGGGTGAGGCCTCGAGAGCTCACCTATGAACGTATCCGTCCCCAAATCGGTAGAGCTGAAACCACTGCTGGCGCTGGACATGTCGCTCAGCGTCATTTCGTCATTCTTCGTGCAAGTCGCATCGTTCTCGTTCCTCTTGGCGCTCGCCACTCTCTCTAAGGTCTGCTCTAGGTGTCTCAGGTGAATCACTTTCTCACCCAGAAGACTCCTGGTGCGATGCAAACTCACCTCCATGTCTGACAGTTCGCGTTCCTCCTAAGATCGATCAACGGGTACCGTAGACGAACAACGATTCGGTTTCAAATGTTTTTAAGAACGAGGCGTTCGAAAAGGATAGACAGTCGTGAAAATTGTAAAGAAATTCGGGCTTAGGACTTTTATATATCTGGAAAATAACCCAGATACGATGAAACTTCCTGTATACAATTTCTAGCGTGGGTGTATCACGATCTAAAATAGCGAGGAAGGTCATGGGTTGATCCGTTTTGGGTAACCGATCCATGCATGCCTAGGTGCTACGAACAGCATAAAATACATAAAATATATTGAATAAGGTTCTTTGTAATGCGTATTTTGATTCGGACCTGCGACAAACAATTATAGGATCGTTAAAAAGCCATCGATTGGGAAAGCGTCGAAGACGATCGTACCTGAACCAATTGTTCGAGGGTTGCCCTGGCGCTACGTTGTTTCCAAGCCCTCTGCCGACCCTGGAAAGCGTTCTCCTGGTGTTTGAGCGCCTCCTGAGCCCTCCTCACGGAATCCCTCTCGACGTGAATTCGGTGCCGGAAAAACTCCAGCTCCGAAGAGGCGTTCGCCGGTGCTAGAAAATTGAGCAGAATCCTTTTCGGTGTCATCCGACGAGCTCGCGCTCGGGCTGGACGGTGGAAGCGGCGTGCGAGAAAACAAACAACGAAAGGAACAAAAGGAAAACGAAGACAAACGGAAACGAGCACGGTGACGGAACAGAAAACGAAAAATCTGGTGGTGCACTTACGATAGAGTCGAGGAGTATAAGCTGTTAGCCAAAGTAAAGTCTATAGATGCCTGGGGAAATAAATAAAAAAAACGGTTTTCAGAATTCCGAGGGATGGAAACGAAAATTGCCGAACGGTCGCGAAACGCGAACTACGTGAATAAATAAAGAAAACGACAGAACTGAGGAGAAGATAAAACTTTCGTTTTGCGTTCAAAGTATTCGGTAGGCATAATCGAAGCGTTTAAGCTGTAGATATTTGACTTGTACATTGTGGAAGTGTGTCGAAAACTACAAAGTAAACGTGTGTACTTCTTTCGTTTACTACACAACATTAACACTACCAGAAATAAATAGATTAAGGAACTGGGCCGGCCACTTTCTTCAACAGTCACCTTTGTCTTGGAAAGGATAACGCAATGTATAGGCCGTTTCGTTGCTGGGCAGCTGATCGCCAAGATCTTCCAGCTTCTCCAGCTGCTTCCTGATGTTCTCCACCGGGTTCTCAGGATTGTTATTGTTATTGTTCCCAGCGTTCGCGCTGGCGCTGGCCCGAGCGGCGCTGGTCGTCCTCTTGCTGAAGTTCTTCTTCTTCTTCATCATGTTCGCGTTCGTCTCGCTGGCGGTGGTCGTGTCGTCGGACTCGAATCGCGCTGCACTTTTCGCGAGGGCCGCGATCGCGGTCTTCTGAAACCCCGAAGTGACCTTCTGAGCGCTCGGCTCTTCCGGTTCGTGGTGGCTTTCCGTGTGATCGCTTGCACCCTGAGCCTCGTGACCCTTGGCGTTCGTCGTCGCCGAGCTCGAACGCGTGTTCCTCACCGGGGTACTGCGAGCACGATTTAAGGCCTATAGCCAGACATTAGGGCGAATCGCATGAGCGTGAGAGAGTACCTTCACAGTTTACTTTTCGTAGTTGTCAACATTCGTGGTCGCGAACAGCGCTGGACACTGTTTAATTTTAAGGATCTTTCAAAAATTCACCAATTTTTAATATTCTATTCAAGAGATCGAAGTTTATCCTCGTCTCGTAGAGGGATCTATGCAAGTTCTCACGGCGGTGGTTAGAAATTAGAAAAGTTGCAACGATTACGAGGACCAAAATCGATTGGTTCGAGTGGAGTAAGCGTTTGGAATCGTTCGAACAGTGCCCAACTCTTATCGTGAGGAAACATGGAACACACAATGGTACACAATCCGCGTGCTCGGTTCGGGTACAGTGTCACGGACTGTGAAGGCACTGGAGATTGTGACGAAGTAAATGGATGTGCAAGAACTTAGCGTTAGTACATTTAACACGAAATAGAAATAAAAGCATGCTTCCACTCCGTTCGAAGGGATCGTGTTCAAGTACTTCAGAATGCAATCCAGCGTGTCAACCTTTTGCAATTCGATTCGTTTTCCGCCCCTTCCTTCCTTCTGGCGTCTCTAGAATGGCACGATATCTTAAATAGTTGCAACAAAGTGTGATGGGTTAACGCGAACCCGAGTTTTGGGTCGTTCGGAACGCGGAAGAATCATTTCGTGCCAAATCGAATACTCCTTCAAGTAACATTTTGCTTGGAATTTTTACAGATGCTACAAGTTTTTGGGATCGATTTAAGAAAGTACCAGATTGCAGACAAGGCGATGCTTTAAAATTAATCGTACGAGATTTAACAGACAAATATTCTGTATGATACGGTCAACAAATATCGGAATCTTTTGGCAGCGATACTTGTTGGAAACCGCAAGAATATTCACAGAATGAAATTGAATTAATAAATATTTGATATATTTTATATTTGGCGCGAAATGACCCACAGAAAATTGAGCAAAACTCGAAACGGCAAACGGTTGACCGGGATTAGAATTTGACGAAGCGGGATGATGAGGCTGGACTCACTTTTGTTCCGACGACTCGGTCCTGTCCTCGGTTCTCGTCCTGGTGGACGTCGACCTCTCGGTCTCGGAGGCCGTGGTGTATCCCGCCTTCCTTCTGCTTCTCCTCTCAGCGACCAAACGGGCTTCGTTCTTCAGCTTCTTGTGCTTCTCCTTGAGAGCGGTGTACTTGTCTTGCAGCAGTCGATTCTCGGACCGCATCTTCTCGACGTCCATGCTCTCTTGGTGAGCTGCTCGCTCTGCCTGTTTCCGCGTCTCTTTCTCCGCGTCCCGCGTGAAGTCCGCTCGTATCTCGTCTAAACGCTGCTTGTACATCTTCCGGGTGAGACCCTCCTGAAACGCCAGCAGACAAATTCCCTTCAGACACGTCCGCGGAAGAGCGAACACGAATCCTCCGCCTGGATCGTTGATTCCTCTTCGATCGTCGAGCCGGTCAATCGGAAACCGATCCAACCTGACGAACCCGACCGACCCCGCCGGCAGCTAAGAAACGCCTGAGCAGTTTTCGTGTATCGTGCGTATAGAGGAGATAGTATAAATGTACAGATGCATTTTGTGACGGTACGCAACTGTCGTTTTATTGTTTCTTCAAATATAATTCGCTCGGTGTACAACAATTCCGGGAGGAACTCTCTTAAAGCTATCCGCTAAGGCGTGCGTCTGGACGGCATTACACAATCGTGGACGATACCGAGGAATCGAATTACGAATCTATTAAAACCCGGTGGAACATGGCGAGCAGTTTTATTTGCGTTCGCTGAAAGAAATTGCGCCTGACGCGGTCTGGCTGGAAGCTTGCGATAGAACGTCTCGTGCACGAGTCAACTGGTTATTGCGTAACGCCAATCGTTCCTATCGCGTACATAACCTAATTTCCTTAAACAACAATGGACAATGAATCGGAGGTAGGATTTTAAAACAGAACGTTGTCGGATGGAAATGGAATCGACCGTTGCGCAACAAACGCGCGTACAGTTTCATATACTTAGAGTAATAGGCATCGTCAGGTACTCACATCGATTCTAAAATCACGCAGAATCTCTGCCAGACATTTCTCGTGATCTTCCGTGATCTTCGTTACTTTCTCCCTCTGCTGTGCCCGCAGCTCGGCGCGCAACTCGTCGAATTCCTTCTCCAACTCCTTCTTCAAGGCGTCGACCCTCGCCGTGTGCTCTTTCGTTAGCTCTAGCTCGCTCAACTTCGCGTGCTTCTCCTCCCCCAACACCCGCTCGTACTCGTTCTCCAATTCGCCCATTTCCTGGTTCCTCAGTTCCAGCAGCTCCCGCTTCCTCTCGTCGAGCTCCGTCTTCAGGTTCGACAATATCTCCTGCCTCTCCTTCTCGTAGCAGACCTCCAGCTCGGCCCTCACCTTCTTCAAGTTCTCCAACCTCGCCTCGTCCATTTCGGCGATCAGCCTCTGGATCTCTCGTTCCTCCTACAAAACGATCAGACCTGTCAGTCGACGCGTAAAACGAAACCTGTGCAAATTTCTATAATAATTGTCACGATATCAAACCTTCTCGACCATTTCCCGTTTCAGTTTCTCCAGCCTGTCGTCCAGACTTTTCTCCAGCAGCTTCTTCTGCTCCAGGAAGTTCTCTTCCAGTTCCATCCTCGCGTGCTCGAGCTTATCGTCAAACTCTTTCTTCAGCGCCTCGATGCCCTTCTGATGCTCCTTGCTCAGCTTCGTCCTCGTTTCGTTCAAGCTCATCGTTTCGGAGTTTCTTCGTCGCATAAGCTCCAGCTCCTGATTGATTCTGGAGAAGTCCGAGGTGTCGTCGTCGTCCGTTTGCCTATCTTTGGAGAAACGCAACGACGACTTCTTCGGTTTGTCCGTTCTCGACTTGTTTTTCCGTAGTTCGTCCGAGTCGCTGCTCCTGGCCGCGCTGCAGTCCGTTTCGCTCTTCGAGACCAAGTCGATGTTCTTCACTTTGTTAAACTTGTTGTTGAATAATCCGTAATCCAGGCTGCTCTCCCTCGACACGCTGTCCTTCGCCATTTGGTTGCGATGCTCGTTCTCGGTGACGTTCTGAACGACGAATCTCCTGCCCACAATTTTGCCTGTCTTTTTCGCGGGTTCGGCCTTGTCCGAGGATGAACTCTTCCGAGTATCCTCGTCGAGCTTGCTCTCGGAGTCCTCCCTGTTGTCGTCGTCGAAGCTCTGCGAGCTCGATCTCTGGGAGGAAAAGATCGAGGCGACTTTGCTTGGAATCGTCGCTGATATTCGCACGTTCTGCTCTTCGGACTCGGACTCCCAGTCATCCTCGGACCCCGAGTAAGTGAACTTGATGTCCACTTCCTTCTCTATGTCGAACCGAACGCTTTTGCGCTCCTCGTCCACCGGTCTGTCGTCTGTTAATAATCAATATTACCGAATTAATAATTACAATCGAAAAGCACGTATACTTTTGTAAGAGGGTAAAGTTTGAATCTATCGTTAATCTTCGCAAACAATATGCAATCTTAATTTGTACAGACAGCTAGAAGTGACGGAAGACAAAGTAAAAGTGCTCGAAACGATCAGATATTTTCAACCGATCTCTATCAACACCGTAACCTTTAATCTTCTTACCATCTTCCGGTTGTTTTTCTCTTAGGATCGATTTCAACCTGTCCCCGCCAACGATGATGATCTCGTCGGAGATAGCGACGGTCCGAAAATCTTCGAGTTTAGCACCCTCTTGGCTGGGAGTGGTGTCTCTGCTTCTGTTGCTCTTTAGAAACATAGTTCCCCCGCCGCTCAGCGTAAGCTCCTTCTGTTGGCCAAACTGACTTGGATGCTTCTCCTTGTCAAACTTGTCCGACTTCTCCGACTTGGCTAACGCCGTGATACTGAGCTTATCGATGTCGATGATGTTCTCCTCGGAGCTAAACTTGCTGGACAGTTGTTCCCAGTCTTTCTCGTGACGAGGACTGAGGGATTCCGATCTCTTCAACACCTCCTTCAGATCCAGCTCGTCCACCGGCGTGGTGGTCGCCGCTGCAGCGGCGATGGACATCGATTGCATGGTTTCCAAGAGCTTCGGGCACTCGTAGAATCGAGGATCTTGGAACTTTAGGTTGGTATAATCCCTGGCGGCTCTGTCGGTCGCCAGAGGATTTTCCAGTCTCGAATGTTGCCTCTCCTGACTCGGACTATCCTTCCTCCTGGCACCCTCGATTTTGTCTAATTTTTTCAGGGGCGTTAACTTCGTGGGAATTCTCGTGGACGCTGAGGTTGACTTGGTGGATTTGATCGGGTCCTTCGAGGACGAGGTGTCCTTGGGGAAAGTTGACTCTTCGTGCGACGACTCGAGATCCTTGGCTGTCGTTTTCGAGTCCTCCTCTAGGGACGAAACAGTAAAGTGTAGATATTCGATGCCGTCGATCGCGATTCAGGATTCGAAAGAGGGGAAAAGCTGATGCTTGCACCAGGGATCAAAGAAATACGCGCGAACTTTTTCCCCGTTCGCGATCTCTCGAGAAAAAAAGAGGCGACAGTGTCAGCGTTCCCTCGAGTGCAAGTCAACGACTGTTTTCCGCTCCTTTCCTCCTTTTTTTTTTTGTTGTTTTATACTATGGATACGAGAGGAGCAGCAATGGAACGGATAAGAAAATACGCCTGAAAGCCTGGGAAGCGCCGTACCGATTATGTATCAGCGAGGAGGGCTCTCGACGCGTCTAAAACTGTGTGTTTCTTCTTTTTCGAAACGCTTTTCACAACCACAACGCTCGGTTCCCTTTCAGCTCTTTCACGAACGAACGATTGCAACTAACATTTACGTTACGCTGGGTTTGTTGATTCGCCAACGCGTCAAAATCTCTTTGCGCGAAAAAAGGGACGTGTCTAAAACTGGATTAGAAGGATTCTGTCGTTTTGGGAACGTTATCTTTAGTTTGCTGAACAGTAATTCTTTGACGCGCGAGGTTACCCGAAATATGCTTTCCTAGAAAACCGAACTATGCAAAATGCTTTTCGAAATGGTTTCGTTGAATCGTGGCGGAACGTAATCATCGAGAGACTCGTTTACCAGCGAATAGGGCCACCAAGATTCATCGATGCGGAGAAATCCGAAAAAATTCTGCTCTTTGGTCCCCTGTGGCTTTAATCTTCTGCTACTCCCAAAGTGAAAACGAGAAAGCCAGAGGGCGAGGACTGCCAAGAAATATTGACTTTTCGCGTTCGTGCAATTTGATCTGGGTCGTGACGAACCGGTTGCGATTTTAAAGAAAACCTTCCACTTTCTACAATGCGACACTGCGCGATTCGATGATAATTTTAATCTTTGGGTATTTTGCATACACGATGAAGACTGTAAAATTATATTCGAACAAACATGGACGTCATTCATAAATAACAAACGGGGAATTCACTCCACTATGCTAACTAAAAAACTATTGGTATTGTCATGACAGTTGTCAAACATAAATTATTGTTAGATTGCGATAAACTATCCGTAGACATTCCCCGCTCGGTTGCAGTGTCTATTAATCACACGTGTTCGCTTTTCAAACAAGAAATAAAGTATTATTCGAATAAATCTTGTTCGCCAGAACGCTGCAGATTTATTAACGAAGAAGAAACCATTTTTCATCGCGGGACAGATCGACGGGGGAAATAGAAAAATCTCTGAATACGATTTTACACAGACTCGATGCCAAAAGTTGGTAAAAATTGCAGCTGGGTTTGGAATTGCGGAAAAACATCGAGATGCTCGCGTGACCGTTGATTCATCGCTCCATTTTCATTCAGATCGCGTCATCGGCGTCGGGGCCGCTTCGTCGAAGAGCGTCGTTTCAGCAACGATTCGCGTCCGATATGACGACGCGATAATTGGACGGATCCACGTTTCAAGCGACTATTACGTACTTTCACGAACGAGTGCACCGACACGTGAGTGCCTTAACGAATGTGCTGCACGCTCACGAGCGGCACGAAAGTGTTTCAAGGGCTCTTCGACGAGTGCCGTGCGTCGGTGTATCCGATCGAGGAAATCGCGCGACAAATTCGACCGTGTGTAACTTCGTTGCGCTCGAACCGCGTTCAACGACTATGTTTTTCAAGCCTTTCGAACACTAGAGCCCCGAGGAGCATCTAGAACCACTCCTTCAACTATTAAAGAACTATAATTTGACCTTGATTGACCTTGAGTGAGCTTGAATCACAGGTCGTCAAACTCGTCCACCAACAAACAACGATACGCGCGCACGATATGGCAATTGAAAGATTAGAATTTCAATATTTTGAAACAACGGAATATTATGAAATTCTAACGAAGGGAAAGTGTATGGAAAAATCGTCAATGCGTAATACTTTCTAAGAGCTGCATAATAAAGACAAAGAAATGAACCGTTTAATGAAACATAAGTCACGGAGCAGACGTGCAAAATAGCTCAGAGTTCACGAAGAGAGGAGTGCTATCCGTGTGATAAAACAATATCCGCAAACAAGTGGCGCTGCCAGTACTATTAATATTAATGATACAAAGCATAGACATGTAAATGCAGACACTATTCAAAGACAGATTTCTAGCATAGATACAATAGAACTGCGAAGCGAAACCATTTGTACAAATGACACAACATTTGGAGCTTTCTACTCACCTTGAAAAAAAATCATACGATCGTATGCCTACAAGCACTTCCAATTCGAGTTATAAACACTTTAAACAAAGATTCGTTCTTGGATCAGACGGTGGTTTTCCTTTTTCCGCACATTGAGTGTTCGATGCATTTGATTACAAGTGCCGTAACTACTTGCTACTTGTACAAAGAAAATGACGGATAGTTATCGTGCCTGTAATCTAGCTAGACACTTTTGCAAAACTCTGGGCAAAGATAATAATAGTAATATATCTGTGCCACTTGCATACACACTAATGACAAGAAAATAGTGAACGCCGGAAAATTGAAGGTAATTGTACTGTTAAGGACGGCATTCAACGATGGAAAACGTATGCTACCATTAAATCTAGCCTTGGAAAATCAAAACTGAAATTACATCCAGATAAGAGAACAGAAAATATAGCGATTTAAAAGCTACGGGGGTCAATTACAATCATTTTTGGTCAATAGGCATCCTTGATCTTTGTCTTATTTTAACCTCAGTAACGATTACGAATTAAAATTTAATTTTCTATAACTCGAAAAGAAAGTGTTTTCAGACCTCGTTTCATGCCCAAGGCGAGTGGAACGAATTCCAAATGTTTAGTGCGGAACAACAAAATACAATCTAATTCTTTGCAATGTCTATGGTTTGGATTAAGATCGCTATCAGTATACAAAGATGGTTTCGGTGCAAACGATCGTTGTCACTCGTGGCAGCGGAGGATTAACTTAATTCGATTTGAGCCACTTTTACAACGAGACTGTCGGACCGCGGCGCGATAACGCGCGACAGCAAAAACTCGATGAACTTTGGCGAAAATGATCTCCGTACGAATTTCGAAAAGTATTTTTTAAAGGAACGTATCATGTTTGTTCGCGAAAACGGCTACCGCGCGAGATAAGGTTTACGTTATCGTAATCGGCACACGTTCCCGTAAATAACAACACGGTCGATTCGCTTTCCAATTCTTAACTGACCATTCCACGCGGAATCGAACAGTTTTTTAAGTCAAATCGCTGGTAACGAAGTTTTGAACAAATTTTTAAACAGTAAAGATGTATACTTTCTATCATGGAAGATCCAGACCTGATATTATATAGATTTAACACTGTTTTTCATTTGGAAAATCATCGTGTTGAAGTTCGAGGAAAATCTAAAGCGTTTCTCCGAAAACAGTCCGATTTGTCGCGGAATGACCCTTACCGGTTTTGTGTGCTCGCGTACGCGAATCGAAAGGTTAGGGAAAACCTGAATACGGCAGCTCGCGTGGCGTTACGTGGCGTTACGTAAATAAAAAAAAAAAAAAAAAAAAAAACCGAGCCAATAAGTGGAGGCCGTCTCGTTGTCGGCGGTCTGCGGTCATTGGAAAAGAAAACGAAGCGTGCTGTAATTGCACGAACTCGGTGCTCCAAGGTCAAGCGCGAAAGAATATTTCCACTTTACGTAACCGATATGGAATCGGTCGCGCGAGCGCGCGGTTCCGACGATGAACGGTCGATTCAGCGACAGAAAGCGCGGAAGAAATGCAGAAAAAGGGGAAACGAACCGGCGAGAAAGAAACGAGGAAGTACGCGTGACGCGCGAACACCGGTGAAATCGGAAGACGAGCGGCCAAAGTTTCCGCTGAACGGCCTAAAAATATAATTCGTCGTTGACGAAAAGCCAGGTCGCGACACGATTGCCAAGCGAGTCCTTGGAGTCTGTGGATCGAAGCGAGAACGCGCTAACGAGACGAGGCATTTAGCGTGGAACGGTGCAACGCCGTCGACGATCGTCGAATTTTTGGCAATGATCGCGCACGACCTGTAAACAGGTGTTCTTCCGTCGACGCGAATCGCGAAAATAATAATTCACGGCTGCGACGACTGATTGTTTTACCGTTTCGCGCATACCACGACGAGATAAGGCTTCTAGGAAGCGTTACCGCGACCGATTCGTGATACGATTACGTGTATCTTATCATATTTACAAACACCTTTATCGAGAAATCGAACGAATACGGGAGAACGATCGAAACGTTATCGAGAGACAGTTTGATCTAGCGACATCAGACGTTTCACGCTGTCGTCAGACATCCTTCGTGTCTGCTGTGGAAATCGATCGTGATAGCGTTCGAATCTATGGAAAAATAAGGCGTCAAGAAAATATTGGCGAATCTTAACCCTTTGCACGAACTTGAGAGAAACGAGCGAAATAATAATCATGCCATTGCGAGACTACAATTCACACTTTATGCTTTATTTATATACAATGTTTTTACATACATGTACAACGCGCGGAAATCCGACATCTAATAAATAACCTGCTGCGCCAAGATTTGCGACTTCCCGCCCACGAATAAGAAAATACTCGAAATTTGTTGCGACGCGTTGCCCGTCGCATTTTTAAGTCTATCAGTCTTTTATCGCGATATTCTTTATCACAGTCGCTCACGAAATTGATCAAATTGCGACACGGTTGCGGATCTTTCCAGCGGAATGTTTCTGCTTGTCGAAGGTAAAATTCGCTTAGCACGGTCGGTGCGTTTCGTTTGCACATTATGTCTCCATAGAAACGCTTTCAAGTTGTTTAATAAAAGCTATTCGAAGCTGATCGAAGTCTATTAAAAACTGTCGACGATTTTAATACACCTATCTATTCATACACGCTGTTGTAAAAGGTATTACGAACGTGAAACGAGATCTGCGATTCAAGGGAATATATTTTTAACTTTTCCAAACTAGCTAAATAAATTTTACGATATGGTTGTCGATCACCACAGAATAGCATTTCGTACCAGTCGAACGAACGAAAGCCAATACCCAATCATTGCCTAAATTCTAAAGAACAAAGAAATGTGTTTCTAATTCGTATATCAATGAAGCAAACATCGATGATCGTAGCTTCCAGATCAATGATTCTTAATCGTACCAAAGTCGGAGACGGGCAAGATTTTATTCGACCAACGTACAGCCAATAAAAAAGTGCTCTTTGTGTTCGAACCGGTGCCAGATCGAACTAAATTTTTCGCTCCACCGTGTTAGCGATTTATAACCGAATTCCTGTGCACTTCTTCAAGACGCAGAACCGTGCCAGGTTTTTTCCTCCCGGAATCGTGTCACGGGTCCAAAAAGACCATGCATCTTCTTCCAAACTATGTCGCGAGCTTAACCGGCTTAAGAACCACTGTTCCAGACGAATGGGTTATCGAAGAAAATGCCGCGCTCCGAACACTAACGTCGTTCGTAAATAAGAGCGACGTTTCTGTCTCCTGTTTCTGATAAAACGATAATCGGGAGGGGGGAAAATATCTGATCAATTTCGTGAGACGGTGTGCACGCACGGTTCGGCCGTCCTCGATTCATCAGGAGCCATTCAACGAAAAAAAAGAAAAAGAAAAAGTCTTTATCACGGTTCTCTGTACAGAGAAAATGGCGTATCGAGGATGCGTTCCGAGCGCAAAGGGTTAATCCTATATTTTCCATTCAGCCGTAATGACGAGGCAATCCGTACCGACGCTCATTTGCCTGGTGTTCCCGGCCCTGGCCTGCTCGACCAGCTCCTTGTAAACGGCATCCAGGGGGTGTTCCCAGGTGGTGGTTTTGGTGGAAGCCTGGTAATAATACCAGGCATGGCTGAGCTCGTGATAGCACGGCAGCCAACCCTTGGGCAGCGCCGCCATGAGGCCCTCGCGGGCCAACTCCAGAAGGTGCGGTTCCGCATCGGGGTCGATTCCCAGCCGTCTCGCGTAGTCGAGCACCTCTGTGAAAAAGCACGCGTGCACTCCATTAGCTAATTGGAAATCGGTTAAATCGCGAAGCCTACGCGGGACGCGGCGGGTAATTAATTTGCCCGGCGAATCGACGGATAGAAAACGCGTGCACGACGCCCGACGCTTTCACGAACGGAGAAACGGGGTCAAGGATTCCGCTACGGACAAAGAAATTCTCGACTACGACGCGTCTCTATTGTCCGCCCCTTGCTGTTATCCTCGCGAACCGCCCCGTTTCGTCGTCGTCGTCGTTCGCGGATAAGGGGTGGAATTTTTAAATCGTCCGTCGCTATAAATACGACCGTCGATGAGTAACGCGAGACGATATTAATAAACTCTTGAAACAAGTGATTTCAAGGTTCCCGGGTCGGCCGTGCACGCCGTGTGTAACGATGTCTATCGATTATAGGCCAGGTGGAGCGTACACGTGGCAACGCGGAACTGTCGTTCCGGAAGAACGAGGGTCGACGAGATGTCTTTGCGTGTAACGAGCATTGCAGGAAACACGTCACGGTGCCGCGAGGAACATCGAAATTAACTTTCTGGCGCTGATCGTTGAAAAACTTTATTCACGTGCTCGCGTTTACGCTTTTAGCTAATCCGAGAGACGTCGTCGAGTCGCCTAGGTCTTTCGTATGCATTTATGCGGCAGTTAAAACCGCTACATCGAAAATTAATCATACGATATTTACGTATCATCCTACGACGATATCTGAGACCTATTTTTTAAATCTTACGTTCATAGGTAACAATTTTCGTTCTAAAAAAATCCAAAGATTATTGTTACGAACAAGAGTATCGTTCGAGTGGAGCAGCGTCAAACGAAAAAACAATCGGTCTATTGTTTCCCGCGATATTACGCCAACCAGCTTGATAAATGTCGTTTCAAGAAGAGCCGCTCCAAGTTTCGTGCTGTGTTAGAGTTTACAGAGAGTTCTGTGCAAAGTAACTTTGCGCATTTTGCTTCCCCGTAATCACCAAAATGTGTCGGAGACTAAAGACTTTCAGAAGATATTAAGAAGAGTTAATATTTTTTATTTCCAAACTAGACAAGCTCCTTAAAATTTTGATGTTTAACAAAGTAGGCAAGCCGAATGTGGCCCTGATTAAACAAGCCAAGCGACCGTCAAAGCCTTAACTCCGCGCAAAGTGTATCGACTTTCGGTCATGCTTAATTAATTCTTCATTAACCCAACCCAGCTACTCGGGCGTATGTCGCGAGCAAAGATTCAAAAATTAGACGCTCGAAAGACAGCCACCGATAAAATAACAGTTTATCGCGACATCGATCTTGTCGTTTCATTCGATCAAACACCGCCAAAGATGATTAACGAGCTCGAGCTTGTGTGCGCTCCGTCTGTTATTGACGTTCCGCGTACTCGATAGAAATGTGGCGGCCAAGGCACCACATACGCCTTAGCCGTTCGAAGCCGCTACAATGTATGGTTGCACACGAGACGATGGTTGCACACGAGACGATGGTTGCACACGAGACGACCAGAGCCGCGTGAGCCGAAAAGCCGTTGTCGTCGTCTCTGACCGTCTTTTGTTTTTGAAGGCCTCTTGGTACGGTGGCGATGATCGTACCGGAGAGTCGAGCGTAACCCGCACCACGAGTCACGTCGTTGTACGACAGCAACAATAAAATTGTGCGGAACGGAACAGAGCGGAGTCATTATCTTCCCGATCCCACAGAAATAATACATTATCCTTTAGGATCATGGTTTGGTAAATACTACGCGTGTTTACCGATCTCCCGCGATCATCGTCGAGATCTACTCGTCGACAAAGTATCACACTGAAATTCTGTAATAACGAACGGGCTTTTAATAACACGGTGCTCTATTAAACATGACATCGCGACGAGCAAACACGACATTGTGCTCCATCCTGTAATTGGAAACTAAAAATAGAGATTATTAATCCATGCTGGCGCGGCAAATTGACGAACGTTCGTGCCGCGAAAATGAAATGATCGAAAGCGAGTGTTTGCTTCGTGAGAGGATGTTCGAAAACAGCAAAAGGTGCGATTAACGTCAAAGTAAACGGTCGCGTGGATCTTCGATCGTCGGGGGAGAGAGCTGAATGCTCGACGGTTTTCTTCGCAGAAACAAAAGTCGCGACTGCGGCGCTGAAAGCGGAGTCGATTTAAAATTCCATCATGGAAGTCTTTGACAGGTGGCTCGACGTACGGGGGTAACCCGCCACAACATCTGTTTCACCGCCCGGTGGAGAAAATTTCGCAGCGAGCGCGACGGGCACGGATCGAGACTTATCGTTCGTTCGATCGATCCTCGCGACGGATGGACCGGCAGGGGAGGCTCGATCCTCGATATTTCACGCGAAAGATTTCGTCCTGGGGAATCTGGCCGCTGACACGGCCGCCAAGGGGGTGGGTTTCCGAGGCGTATGACAAAACTTTCGCCGCACTGCGGATCCTATTGATTTTCCTTGACGCGCTAGGCTACGAGCTCACTGCTCCCGTCCGACCGAGGTGTAAATAAACAAGGAAACTCACCACCGAAACCGTTCAACCCTCTGTCGCTTTATTTATAACTTTATACGTTCTAACCCTTCCCTGCGAGGTCGCCGAAACGCCATTCACAGATCGGGTTCAGCCTGCCAGGCATCGTTCTTGCGTGGCAAACTTCGCGTATATACAATTCGATAGTTTCTACGCAATTTCCAAGCAAATCGGGAATGATTCCAAGGGTGTCTCGGTTTCGAAGTGTTCACGATGGAAGTAGGAATAAATAAAGGTTAAGAACGTCTTATCGTAGGGTCCTCGCGCCATTGTTAACGCTTCGCGTCGGTACGCCTCCGATAAGTCACTTTTCCCTGGAATTACGTCAGACTGTTACGACGTTTCTCGCGATGTTTTCGGGAGCACGGCAGCTGACGAGGTTGCGCCGAACGGTGTGCCCGAGATCGATTAGCTGGGTACGCGATCCGTGCTCGTCGGCCACCCGGAAGGATCAAACGGAAGCGAGCGAGGACAGGACGGATGGTCAAGGCCACGACCTCCGGGAATCGGCGGTTCGGTGTATCAGTCGAACGGATCGAGGAGACGCGAGCGAGGTTGACAGTCGGTGGTGGCGAGGGAAGAAAAGCACCCCGGCTGCATCGATCGAGAGTACGGGGGCTGGGCGAGAAGGGTTCGCGGGTGGACGTGGATCGAACGGCTCGCGACTCCGTCTCTGGAACGTACCTTCGTTCGACGGATGGGACGTCTCGTCGAATACCTCCCTGCACACGATCGTGGCCGCGCTGTCCTGAGAAATGCTCATGCTAGCACGTACGACGAACAGCCGTGTCCCGGGCGCAGGACGTTCACGTAACGCGCGTCACGAATACGCGCCAGCACACGGGAGATACGCGCGGGCCTTCGCCCGTCATTTCCCGTCACCGACGACGCGTGCACGCGAAACAGTTTCGCCCCGGCGACGAGGCCCGTCCGACGACGGTCAATGTTGAATTCGACTTGAACGCGACCGGCGGAAGGAGGCGAGGAAACGGCCTCCGCGCGTGCAGCGCCCTCGGTAGCCTGACCCCGAACTAGGCCAATGATAAGGAAACGAGCAACACAGCCGCCGGCAACTGTCTTATCGATTAATCGAAACCCCGAGCGGCCTCGTTGCCGCCGGGCGGGAAATATTCAACCGTCGCCAGACCGACCGAGGCTACCTTCGACCCTTTATTTCTAACTTTCATATACAACTTGCTGATATTCGTGTAAACGATATCTAGATTTACCCCAAATCTTCGTACACCCGTCTATTACACGCGAGAGAACATTTTAGGGAGTGTGTGGAACTATTCGATGGATCAAGATCTCGAATGCACGATAGTTTCTAGGCAACCGTAATAATACATCAAACAACAGGATCCATGAAAGGAATAAAACATTTTGTTATGATTATTTGAGGACGATTGTTACAAGTCGTTACATAATTCTGTTCGTAATCGACATTTTCCTAATCCGGGCCTCGATCGAATCTCTTATAGCAATTTGTTTCTTACGCAAGCTATACTGGTTCTGCAAGGTCTGATTTAATAAATGAAAGTAATGCAGTCGAATCGCGCCTCTGTGTTCTGAAATGGGCAGCGCGTTACACCTGCAGATATCTTCTACGAAAGGAAAAGTCGTTTCGCTGCGGTGTACTCGATATACCGTTTAAATATTTAACCGACATGTAACATTGATACACGTTCGGGGCGGAATAAATATCGAATGTCGCGGATACAACGATTTCTCCTTGAAATTGACAGTCCACGGGGTTATTCGGTATATGGACAATCGTCGGTGCAAATTCGAACGGATGGCGGATACAATTCCGCGACTGTTTCTAATGTTGCGAATAGTAAGTATTGATCGCGATTGCTTTCAGGATAGTGTCATGAATTATTAGCACTGAGAATGATTGTATTTAGTATTGCGAAATGTAAGTGCTACAGCATGCAACCTGGTACTCGTTGAAATAATAGTAAGAAAGTATACAAGTATTTTGAATCCTACACATTCGAGTTATCCGTCAGGTTCAGATTAATTAAGACTTGAATAGTTTAAAAAATAAATCATTCTCCGCGCGTTTAGTCTTAATTCCCACCGCACATGGCGTACAACTCGTATTCCATCATGGATCAAAAACGTTGGATCACAGGAGAGGTATAGAATAGACGTATCATTTAATGGGACCTCGCATTACATTAATTAAAACACAGATTAGAAATGAAATACAACTACGATTCAATGCATTTTTGTAGTCCCTTAGCATTGTCATATGGGATATTGCCAACGCAGAAAAGAACAAGACTGCAGCACCATTTACACGGCGGGAATTATAATTCAATCGCGTAATGCTATAGACGAGGTATACCTTTCACCTAATATGTATTTTTTCGGCCCGTTTCTCTGGGGTCACGAGACCCCATTACCATTTCCGTGTCACTCGCAACGTTACCAACAGATTCAGAAATTAACACAAGAGGAAGCGAGACAGAAAATGAAATTACAGAAATTTTAGTATTTTTTAACAGAATGAAAGCTGTACAGTCCAGAATTGAGCATCGATCGATTAATTTCATTGGAGTAACCAATCGATTACGATTATTTAAAGATATCAAGATTATTAAAATACGTAAGGATGCACCTCATTTATAAGTCTACCGCAAATCCTCTGTTCTTTAATGTAAACCTAAATAGAGCTGTATTCGATGAATATATCTGAATTTTTGTGGGAATTTAGCACACAATGAAATACTTTTGCGACTGTTACGACAAATGGAATAGTTTCTGAAGAACGTACGTGAAACTATAAGAGGAACGCAGCCATTAGCTCATATTATTTGCTATGTAATTAATAATAATATTAATTACATAGTAAATAATATGACCCAGGTCTCACCGCGAGGAGGTTGCTGCGAATAGAGACCCACCCTAGCCTCGCCCCAACCACCCTTCCTTTGGCGAGGAATTCGAATACCTATCTGAGAGAGAAGCTATCGAAAAGATAGAAATGAGCTACAAAGGAAGAGTTCTTAAAAGAACTGTCCCATCAAGAGATGACAAAACCTAACAAAATGTCAATACATGTGAGATGATACACATGTTTTCTAGAAACAAAATTGGAATGTGCAATTGCACGTACGAACTCTGACTGATGAAGAGATCAAAAACCTAACGAAATGTTGATACATGTGAGATAATTCACCACATGGTTTCTAGAAACGAAATTGGAATGTGCAACTGCACGTACGAATCCTGATTATGAAAGTACCAATATGTACTTTGTTATTAATTGTTTCTTCTTAAATAGGTGTTTTTATTATGACAGTGTCTAATGAGACACTGAAGAGCCAACCAGAAATGTGCAACTGCACGTATGGAGCTTGCATATTAGAATACTAATATGTACCTTAATATTAATCATCCCTACTTAAATTTACGCACACGTTTCGATAATATTTAATAAAGGGCAGGAGAAAGCTTTTTTATCTTATAATCTATATACATTTGTACTTATATTCTAACGCAATCTGTAGAAACATGAAGAACTATGAGGAAATATTTTCTTCTTGGTGTCTTCATCAATCCCACGATGTTTTTCTAAAACATACACTAATATACAATAAATTATAACCGACATGAAACAAAGAAATACGACAAGATATTTTCTTCTTGGTGTCTTCGTCACTCCCACGATGTTTTCCTGAAACAAAAACTCATATTCAATAAAATATATAACACATATAAAACAAATAAATATGAAAAAATATTTCTTCTTGGTGTCTTGATTAATCCCACGATGTTTCCCTGAAACATAAATCAGACAATAAATAAAATTGTACAAAGAAACGAACTACATCAAGCTACTTCAAACTACAATAGAGTGGCACATATGGGGATGAAGTTAGACGTTTTAAATATCGCAACACTACGGGCCAACAACGCGATAAATCAACAATCGCAACGCTAATTTATAATAGAAAAATTCCAAACGCGACTTGTAAGAATAAAAGCAACCGCGAATGGTAATTATTCGCAACGCTACCCTGAAAAGCAAACGCGAAAAATAGTAATTCGCTACTCTAACAGCAATCGCGTTTACTAATAATTCGAAACGCTATTTTTAAAGCAAACGCCCGGTTCCTAGGTTTGCATAAAGACAATCGCGAATCGTATTTATTCGCAATGCTGATATATCAACGCGATAAATATTTTTTCGCAACTCTACGAGCAAACGCGAACATTGTATATTATTCGCAACTCTAACTTTAATCAGGGGAATCATGGTACATGTGAATTCACATGTACTGGCCACAAAATAATCTAACTACTTCTAGTACTACAATTGGGGTAGAATTTGGGCATTGAAAATATCGCAACTCTAAAGAAAAAATCGCACGATTGATCAAGATCGCAACGCTAATTTATAGTATGAAAATTGCAAACGCGGTTGATGCCCATTATATGTATAAAAGAGTAAAAAAGCAACGCGAATCGTGATTGTTCGCAACACTACCCTGAAAAGGATACGCGAAAAATGGTAATTCGCAACTCTACGAGCAATCGCGTTAATCAATAATTCGCAACGCTACTTTTAAAGCAAACTCCCGGTACCTAAGTTTGCATGAAAACAATCGCGAATGGTAATTAATCGCAACACTACCCTGAAAAGGAAACGCGAAAAATAACAATTCGCAACTCTAAAAGCAAACGCGATTATTGGATATTCGCAACTCTATGTATATCATAACCGCGAGTTATGGGGAGGGATGACTGGCATGTATGGTGCAATCATGTACCATCAGGTACATGCATACGTGAGCCAGCCAGAAAAATAAACTAACTACAACTACAGACGAGTTAAGTGACAAAGTAGTAAGAGGAATGACTTTCCATCCTCATCCGAGGATGAAGATGAAAAGCCATTTGTTGTAGCCCGCTCTTGAAACAGTTTGTCAGGGCCTCTTCAGCTCATATAGAGCCTTTTCTTTCTTCGGCGGTCCTGCCGATGCCTGAAACTTACTTAAGACCGGGCTCGAGATTTCGTGCAATACGTAGTCTTCCAACAATATACGAATTGTTGAAAGAGCAAACGTGGTCATCTCGAGGGAAACGAACGTTTCGAAAGGGACCTGATCACGACCGCGAACGCGAGAGAGCGACTTTAAGAGTCGCGCGATTCGAGGAGTCGAAAATAAAGCCGAAACAAACAGCACATGTACACCGTTTGAATCAGCAAAATTTCTACTCTCGAAATCGTAACTACAGGAACAGAACTGCCACGCGAAAACGCGCCTACCCGAATTACTAATGTGGACAGTCCTGCCCTGGCCCTACCTACTTAGATTTAAACACACACACCAGAGAATAAGTTACCTACCTACCTAACCCTATATTTAAAAAATTGCAAAACTCAGTCTCTCAAACAAACACTCCACGGTTCTCATTCTGAATGTCCGGGCGCGACCTAAACTAGAGAGGACTCCCCGGGGTTCCTCCGACACCCGGACACAACCTCATTCATACTCTAAATGTACGTACCATTTCTGGAATCGACTGACAAAGCTAGTGCCCATTGCGTACTTTTATTATTTATGTAAAACATTTCAATATATCTAATATAGTCTTTATTAAAATATACTCTATATATGATCATATAAGATTGAAAAGCTAATTCACTATGCATTTTATGCAATATCATTGACGTGTATGCAATACGAACAATTGCCAAGTAAATAATAACTATAAGTTTAATATTATTATTACGATTGATATGAATCTAATGTTAAAAAATTCTGTATCTGAATTGTAATCAACTTTTGATTCGATGCACTTCCACATCCTAACCACAAACACACATATGTGGACAGTACATCGTGCACGATACACTAGCATTGTCAGTCGCACGGATAAATTATTATTATAAATGTTACAAACTAAGTCATCGTGCCCCGTTGCCTTCGCTCGTGCAAATAACACTTGGGCATGTGCATGAACTTAGGCAACGAACACGGAAAAGTATCCTGAAAATCCTGACTAGAAAAACTGGTTATTAATAATCAACTAAACGGTATCTATTCTCAGTTAAAATGACTCGACTTGTTATATGTAATATATCAACAACAGAGTACGTTA